TTAGTAGTAACTTAGTCGACTTTACGACGAGAGAAAGTCGTACTCGATTGAAGTATTTCTTCGAAATTCGAATACTATATAGCTTCTCTCGGAATATAAACTTTATAGATCGAGAGACTATAGCTTACGATAGTATTTAGAGCTTATAAGAAATATATAGAGGCCCGACGATACGCGTAAATAAGGTCGATATATAGAAAAATATAAAAAATAATTTTATAAAAAATAAGTTTTATAAAAAGCTCGGTTAATACGATTAGAAGCTTAAGCTACTATTGTTTACGCTAGTTTATACTAGGCTCTATTCTATAGATAAGGCCTTATTCGTATCGTTAGCGCTATTAAATAGGCCTTATTTTATATTATATTTAGTATCTACGAATAAAGCTTTATTTATATTTTAAGCTCTATTTTAGTATTCGTATAATTATTGCCTTCTAGCTAGTAACTATTTAGCGCTTACTCTATACCTATATAGTATAGCTATATACTTTGCGAAAATTAGACTCTACTCTATATCGTCCTAAGAATAATATATACTATTAATAACGATAATACTATCTATCTAAGTTTAAAGTAATATCGTATAGGTCTAAAGTTCTAGAAAGCCTCGACGAACTATAAAGCCGAATATAATACTATCTATACTTCCGTATATATCTCTACGTCGCTTAGGTATATTATTAGCTTCTTTTACTTCCGTATCGCGCGTAGTATAGAAAAGGCCTTATTTTATAGAATAGGCCTTATTCTATATAAGGCTGTTTTCGTGTCCGCATGAAATGGCACGACATCAAATAAGCCTTGTTTCGCGAAATAGCCGCTAGCACGAACTGGCGATAACACCGTCCTTTTGCAAATCTAAAGCCTTTCGTATCCGCCGAACCGCTCCCACAGGATCTGGAACCTTCGCCCCCACCAGACTTCTTGCGATCATAAATTTCTCGTCTTCATTCTAAGCAACACCATTGTAGATATCCGGTCGATTTACACGGGACTTTGCAGATTGCATCGCATTTTGCTTGCTTTTGCGAGAAAGAGAGAGGTCAGTCTGGGCAGTTCGGAGGGTGAAGTTCACAAGTTTTACTTACTGTATTGTGGCAAGGTTTCGCTGGCAGGTCTTGGGCGACGATGGTGGTAGCAGTCAGGAGGAGCAGAGTGAAGAGGCGCATTGTTAGAGGAATGTAGTAAAGACCTAGGAGTGAAGTCACTTGGACGCTTATGTGGAGGATGGAGAGATGCTTTTGGGATGTGGACAGTAGACGCTGAGGCGGGAAGCGGAGACAGGAAATGAGAGACGATGCTTATATGGGTTGCTTGGAGGAATATCGGGTAATCGATATTGAATTGCGCTGCGCTAGTCTCAGGAGCGTTCGGACGAGCTGGATGAAGTTCTAGAACCCTGGGACACATCTGCCATCGTGACAAATATTCAGGTTGCTAAGGATCGTGGACTATGCTCTATCATGACGATAGAATTGTGGACGAGCATCAATAGAAGACGCATAATGCATTGGTCGGATTGGGATCCATTGCATCAAGAGCACAAGGAGTAAATCTTCCAAAGTCATCCCCTGTTCTGCAACTTGATACCAGTTCTTTCGGTTGATTCCCTTCGCATTCCAACCGGTCCTCATCTGCAAGCGCCAACGAAAAGTTCTAGGGAGCGATCCGCCACCAGCTACTCATCGTTACAGACTACGCAGCCTGGAAATTTGGTGCAACTTGGGCATGAAGAGGTTCCGCATATACTGAGCTATGGTAACGCAGGTCGCTTCAGCTCGATTGTCGTAGTGGAGATACAATTATGTTTACTTACGTCTATACAGACGTCGCAGACTAGACAGCCTGCAATATTGGAGCATCGTGGGCATGTGGACGTCCCGCATATACCGTCCTGTGGTAACGCAGACTGCTTCAGTACGGTCGGTTGAGCGAAGATACGATTATTTTTGCTTACATCTGTTTCACAGAATATTTGCCGCTCTTCCAAGGCAGGGAAAGCGAAGGCGAGTGTCGCAGCTGCGAGGAGAATGGCGATGAGCTTCATCTTGGAAGATTGGAATGACTTCCGGTGTTAGAAAAGGTGAGATGAGATCGGTGAGAGAGGCTGACGGAACTGAGACAAGACGAATGAGAGAGCGAGAGGAGAGATTTTATCATGCTGCTCCAGGCGATGATCGTACATGGGGATGCAGCACGGAGCAGGTGTTCAGTCACTTATCGATGACTAAAAGCAAGGGTAGATCAAGAAAATTGAGATCCAACATTAAGCAGGGTAGAGAAGACCACTCGTTGGTACATCGCTTACACTTTCGACTGGAGGGATCGAAAGAAGACAAAAATAGAAGCAAAAATGTCCTACATCCATTTCGAAGTGCCGATTCTACGACGCAATTGTCTCGTTCTGCACTGTTCTTTGCCCTCCAAGATTCACGTGGCCCGACTTATCTACAGCTGTGACCATCAATGCATGAAGTCTATGGGCGTCCCTTCAGCCTAAATGTGTGCGCAGCATACAGAATGCGGACCGTAAACACACTCCTCACACCCTGGCTGTCCGCATCTATCATTCTGTAGCAGCGAAGATGGTATCAGCACGGTTAGATGAGCAAAGATGGAAATGAGGTGTTTGCTCACCACTACAAAACATGGTTTCTGACGATCTTCCAGTCTGGGAAGCGCCAGGGCGAGTGTTGCGGCAGCTAGGAGGATAGCGATGAACTTCATCGTGGAGATCGATGTTACGACTTTGGTCGTCCGAGAGTGTTCTTTTGAGTCGGGCGCGGCGTTCTTGAGAAGCTAAGACCAGATAGACGAACAGGAGGGAAGCCTCATTTTATCCTGCATGAGTAGGCTCGCTCTTGCCGCTTCAAATGGAGCACGGAGCAGACATCAGGTCATGTATTGATGACTAAAAGCATGAAGATCAAGGACAATGCGATCCAACATCCAGCGGGGTAAGAGGAGACTATTCATGGATACATGGCTCAAATTTCACAGATTGTGTCAACAACGCAAGAGCGTTTTGTCGCGAGGACACGGCGACTCCCGTTTTGCTGTTGTTTCCCACTAGTCTCAAAATACCACTCTCGCCATACCGCATCAGGTTTGGTCATCCGAGTGCTATGTCTACAAATCTTCCGTGCACCGCTCTGGATTCCTCGTATAATCGGCAGTAAATAAAGCAAAGAGCGGATCTAGAGTGAACAGCAGCATCCTGAGTCCGTTTGATAACATGGCTTGCCCATGCAGAAGTCAACACAGGCTGATTCCTTGAGTGCGAGAGCATATGTCAGTCATCAATGGAGAAGTGTTGTCGTACTTGCTTACACCCCATGAGCAACCCGGACCTGGATGGGCAGGAAATTGCGCATCTGGATCTGCAACGATGCTTGTGGCAAGCACCAGAAGAAAGAGAAGGAGCTTCATAGTATAGTTGTTCGCTCAAGCGGCGGGACTGCCAACTGTGTATATGAGGAGTGTAAGCAGAAAAGAAGACTGTGAAATGAGCAAGTGCGAGGACACTAAGCATGGGAAGAACAAGTCGTTGTGTTGAAGTTCCTTGCGGAGACGCGGATGTCAGCGGAGTTGACAAGACGTGCAGTCATGTGTCCGTGACTAACAGCATGGGTGCACCGTGGAACGCTGAATTCATCAGTTCGTCGCTGTAGAGAAGAAGAGTCCCGCGTTACTAGCACACTGCATATAGCACGACCTGGGAAGAAATCAGGTCAGACAGTATCCATGAAGATCGCTTCAACATTCATTTGAATAATGATAGCTTGAACGTACGTTGAGTAAATCACAGATCAGTCAGTCGCTGTCCTTTTCTCCTCGATTCAACGTCTGAAAAAAAGATCACTGTGAACAATCGTGCCCGTTGGTCGGGACCGCCAAACCCAGATTCCTTACGATGTGTTTCGTGGACGTCTGCATATATAAGGAAAGTCGTGTGCAGCACTACTCCGAGTTGAAAACATGGGATACTGTAGCTCGCACAGGATGCCAAGGGTTGAATTCAAAGCTGCAGTGATAAGATTGAGTCGTACGCTGTAAACATTGAATCCCTTGAGGACCACAGATCGGAAACAAATAGCTCTTGAAGTAATCAGTCCGTTCTGCCAGTATTCCTATATTCACCTCTTTCCCCTGTTTCCGTCTGGCCTTTGAAAGCTAGTGTCCTTGAGAACATAAGCAAGACCATTCCAAATCTGATGACACTAGTCATAAGCAGGAGTAGTTATGGCAAATTCTGAATCGTGTCCTAGAGAATCACGCGAGAACTGATCTCCTAACATTCCGCCAGATCCCACGACTCACGAGCTTAGGAACGGACCATCGATTGGTCACTTCGCTCCTGCGTGGAAGAACGCCACGTGCGGTCCACGAGTACACTCCAACTCCAAGTGGAGCAGATCCGACGCTTCGATACGTTGCATGACAAGTAGAATGGACTGGGAAGGTGGAAGAGGAGAAGTGGGCGTGAAGTGCCGGAAATCACCGGGTCCAGGCGTTCGTGGCTTACGCCATCAAAACGCAAAGTATGGGCTACAGAGAACGGGCGGTGGGATGCGGCTTGAAGCGGCTTGTGCAGGACACACAATGACTGTTGGCAGAAAAGAAGTTCCAGTAGATGCGGGAAGGTGTTGTGCATAACAGGACTTTGGAATTAGGACGATGCCAAGCGGGAGGACGTGGGGAGAGAGGAGTGAGGGCAAGACGAGAATGCTTTCTCGAAAGTTCATTTTTCATCTCCGCAAAAGCAGTCGCTAAAGACACTCTCGATTCGAACACAGTGCTTTCCATCTCTTCAGCAGGCAATTCTCATTGCATTTGCTGCACCATTCATGCGATTCTTTTCGATCATATAGCATCTTTCTCTGAGAAGAGTCACGCTTACTTAGTAAGCGGCCTTGGGCAACCAAGGTTATCAAACGCAGGCTGCACACGAGTAAGGAAGAATGCAATAGCCTCAACAGCCGGAGTAACGATGCCGTTGAGCGTCGATGGGATCGACTGGGTACCGAGTTGGTACAGCAAGCAGAGAACTTCTGGAGCTTCGACGCCAAGCTGCAATTCGCCGTTCTGGATAGCGCGCCAGTTGATAGCATTGAATGATCCATCGGCAGTGTTGCCACCGAAGGGACGTGGATTGAGGAGGTACATCTTGAGGATCTCTTGGGTGACGAGGCGGTTGGTGTATGGCTCGACACGGTTGATCCAGTTGGCTGGGAGTTGTTCGCGCACGAAGAAGGCCTCCATGGTGGCTTGGTCGGGGATGTAGTTTGGTCCGGATGGGAAGAGCTCGTAGAGGAAAGAGGCGGCACCGAAGAGAAGGAGGGAGAGTGGGCCGAAGAAGAAGTTGGGGTTCTGCGGACAATGAATTAGTGTTGCACATGTGAATGCAGTCTGTAGTGCAAAGACACACCTCCTCAACGGACTGATCCCAACGCTCGCCACGGTATTTGGCAAGGTTTTCGACATTGTGGAGGCCGCCAGTGGAGGCTGCCATCATGTCGTACAACGTGCGGTTGAAGCTGAAGTTGTCACCGCCACCGGTGAAGAAATCGTTACGGGTGAGCGAGGTATCAGCCTCAAACTTGTTGTGGCCAGCAAGACCTGGCTGGCTACCGGTCAAGATTGGAGCGACGGATGTGCGAGTAGTGGCCTGGTTGCTAAGTCAGCATTGAGCTCGAGCAAGAGAAAGTAGGTCTCTACACACATCGCAACCAATGGAGAGCTTAGTGGTGACGAGATCACCATCGGCCTGGAGACCGAGGAAAGCAAGGAGAAGAGAGAGATCGTGGCCAACGTTGTAGACGTTCTGTTGTGCGTCGACGAGCTCGTTGAATGTGGTGATACCATCACGGGCCACTGGGAAGTTGTCAGTTATTGTTCATGGAGAAGTGTGCGACTCTGAACGTACAGAAACCGTGGTTGGCAGCAGTGTTCAAGCCAGGGCATGGACCACGGATATCGCGACCAGGTCGGGGTGCAATAAACTGGTGGTCTGGGTCGTCTGGTCGTGGGACTTGGTAGCCTCCACGCTCGTTACCCTTGCGGCCATTGCGTGCGTTGTTGTACCAGCCTTCGCGGACAGGGACAGCATTGACGTGCTGTGCGTTGAATGGGCAAGTCTCTGGAGAACCTGGACCACCTGGCTGTGGGTTTTGCTGACGTCTTTGAACAGCAGAGAGTGCCGAAGAGTCAACGCCTGGGACGTTGGCGACCCATGGGAAGGCGCTGGCTCCCGAGATGAGGGAGATGGCAACAAAAGACTTCATGGTGATGGTGGAGGAAGAAGATCTCTACTGCAGAGAAGATCGACTTGATAGAAGATGCAAAGGTAGAAGAGGTGCTGGTGTTGCTGATCCGGCCAGAATTGAGGACGATCACATCTAACATAATATATCCGCAACATGCGCCACGTCTTTCTAGAAGAACAAAACACTCGCGTCTGCTTACCTCCGAGGCAAGTGCTGTCTTGTCGATCGTCAGCGCAGTCGTACTTAGAGCTCACGCTATTGAAGCTGCCACGAGGCCGACTGCGAGCGTCTGCAGCCGCCAGCACGAAGCGGTCATTTCGGCACTGGCTTGGGGCTCAGGGTGCAGAGGGGCGACAGTGTAGTCTGTGGCTTGGATGGCGTTTCTCACCAATGCCAGCGACGTGATTGGAGCGCAATGATACAATAGTACGAGCCACTGGCCCGGAGGCTGCAGCAATTCGACGACAGGCGGACTTGGAAGGTGAAAGTGGTGCTGCTGGGCGTTCGACGGCAGGTCTTGTCGTGCGCGCTGATCAGTCTTGGGTGCAGTCCTTGGCTGGAAGGAAGACTTGGCTCCAGATCGCCCGCAGGCTTTGAGATGCAGCGTTTTTCTGGTATGCTTTGGATGCTGGGAAGAAGACGAACATATCTCCATCACCACGTGTAGTCAATATAAAGATGATAATCCATCAGTGAAGAGATCTGCAATTCTGCAATCGACGAAGACGAACACTGCTAAACCCCATCGTTCCCCAGAGTCGTCGAATGAGCTAAGATGCCAAGCTGCAGATCTTGCTCTATTGGCGAGGAGTGGCGCTCCACCTGCCTGATTATGCCGTAGCGGGTGGGGAGAGCCCCAAGCCAGAGTGCGGAGGAGGCGTTTTGGTCGGACAAATCACATCGATCAGAGTTCGATGACACGACCGCGGCTTCGACGCCTCTTGCAACATTCCTCGGTGCAAGCAGAAATTTAGCCTTTTGAGTTGAGGTTAAGGTATCCAAGCCCCCCATCTCAGGCGTACCCTATGTTGAAGGGGGTCTGGAGGCGTTTCGTGGCAGACGTGTGTGGTCCCTTTCCCAGGCTCTCACATTGTTTTCTTGGTCGTCGCCTCACCTGGCCAAGCAACGCCAGTGACGTTTCTTTCTAAGTCTTGACCTCTGCTCGTTGGTCCTGTCGTATAGAATTGTTTGAGTTGTGCTTACAATAACCACGTCTGCCATGCAGGTACTGCAGCAGTTTGGCATCGGTCAAAAAGCCTCGGAACCTGGAGACACGATGTGGGAGCAGGACTTGTTAGCTTCCAACTTTGTATACTGCCCGTCGATGCGATGTCCCGATGTGGAATGCGTTGCGCTGCCCCTCTGGCATCTATAGGCAGACATCACCTGATGTTTTTCACTTACTGTGTAGCGTCCTTGACCAATGCAATTCGTCCAATTGCTAATGCACCGCAAGCACACCCCAGTTGATGGAAAGATGCCTCGGGAGATGGACAGGAACGCTAGAAGGTTGAGGCGGAAGCAATTATACTCGCAACTGCGTGGTTGCCATGTGTGCTTCATTAGTGGCTTCATGTAGGAGCGTTCGCACTGTATGCTGGCCTCAAACCAGAAGGATACGAATACGGTATTTCGACAGCTGAAAGTGTGAGCAGTCGACTACGGAGGATGTCGCGTATCGAGGGGTCTCCCAAGTGCCACAGCCAGCATCTTTTTTGCTTCCATGACATATTGTCAGCAATGACGGCAGACAGAGTGCTCCAAGCCATGCTGTCAAGTCTTAGCGACATCCAGGAAGCGTGCAGCGAGAGTTTCGGCGTTCTCTTGCATGAAGCACGACGCCACGTGCAATGGAGGCAGGATGTTGGAAGCGACAATCGCTAGACAGTGTCCTAGCTGCGCCACAAGCACGACCGATGTGGTGAGCACGGCAGGTCCAGCCATGCTGCGATAGTATGCAGAAGAAGCTAGTCAGAATGCCCCGACCGCGCAGGTGCTAACGACATGGTTTGCTCCTTATGCATGCCTCGTGGAGTCTCGATGCTGGAATCGCCGGAAGGTTCTCGCGATCTTGGAATATGCTTCAAGTCGAGAAATACACCAACGACACCAGAGAAGTCTCCGCAAACCGTGTTTTCAATGACTGCTCGAAACGGAGAGCGATGAATGCTCCCTCGCTAAAGCAAGACCAGTGGCTGGCTCAGAAGAATCCGCTCGTAGCGATGAGTGATCCAGTTCATTCCTCGTCGGCTCAGCTGACCCGTGTGTCCAGTGTGTCCACGCTGGATTCATCTCTTCGAAGCGCATACCGAAGGCTGATGTTTCGTTGTGAACAGCAGATGGCAATCCCCTGCCCGCTCTCTTTCGCCCTCGAGCCAGGTCTGCTTCAGACGATGAGTCGCAACGAGATCTTGCCGCATTGCTCAACGAAGCTCCTGTCACCAGACTTCGTCAACGCTGGCTGCGCTGCCCGAGTCTCATCTGCTTGCGCCAGCAGTATGCAATCTCTGTCCGTTGACAGCCGTGGGTTGTGCGCGGCACGCGTAGTCTGATGATGTGTGTCATGAACCACGGTGTCTCTGTCTATACAGCCCAATCCCTTTGCTCTTCTCGTACTCCTGGCCCCTCCCACAGATGCCAAAGCCAACATATCGCACTGCTCTTTCATCCTCCGCGTGTTCGCCCGCACGCTTGCGAGCGTTTGAGTTGTTTAACCCTAAACAATTCTGTCTCATGTTTGATCATCGACTGTCGGCGGAGGCTTAGTCTCTGCGGTCTGCGGGGAGGCGCTGGCATCGGAAGAGGTGGATGGAAGGCAGGCGTTGGCCGGGATGGAATTCAATTCGAGGCTCGAGTTTCGTGGCGTTGATCCTGCTCGTGGAGCGAGGCTGCTCAATAGATTCGTACGTCGTTGTCTGGTGCTGCTCGATACCCTGCCCACTGGACGAGTACCAAGAAGAGCTGAACCGTGTCGATCATGTTGACGACGCTGTTGCGGTTTAATCCGGGACCTCGAAGGAGACACGGACTCGGTGGACATCACAGGTGCTGCTTGGCGTGGTCGTCAGGATCCTTGCTGCGAGAGCACGAGGCAAGCTTCTCAAGCTGGTTGTTGGCGGCAGTCTGTTCGTAGGCTTGAAGCCCGCTGGTCCTCGACTGGTGCAGTGGTGTTGTCGCTCCTCCCATCGACTCTGTCCGGTGGCGCCCTGGTATTGCGCTTCATGAAACCCGGCGGCGTGGAATCAGGGGGGCCGGCGATGAGGTGGAGCCTCTGTTGCCGAGCAGCTGCGGAGTGGTGTACCTGAGAGTGAATGAGCTGCCAATGTTCGTCGTCAAAGTTGTCGCGGTGGTTGGGGGCTGGCGGAGGTCGGAATGATGTGCACTCGACGATGGCGATCCAGCAAATGCTGCCGATGCTCCTCTGCGCTATATCTGTGAAGTTTGACCTGGTCTGTTTATAGAGCTCATCCGAGAGACGAGTATGGTCGCTGGCGCTGCGCAAATTGCTGAGGACGAAAGGCGTTCCGCTGGCCGCCTGAGCTCTACCGCATCGTCTTCATGCCTCACAGTCGGTCTTGAGTGTCAGTATGCTCCCTCAGCTCGTCAATCAAGGATTTTATCTTCCTCGCAGCTGTTGCAGGCCGTCAAGCTGTATCTTCGCCGTCTCATCATATCTGAAAACGGTGCGCTGGAGCTCACCATGCGGAGGGCCTGTTGTGCTTCGAGTCGCTGGAGATGGCAGCATTGCTGGTGGCTACATGGGCTCCGTTGTAATACTCCCATGCCTCATGGACGATCATGAGCTTCAGTATGCTCGCTCCACTCGCGAATGAAATACGACGTGCACATTGCAGCTGATGTAGGCGGTTATGCAGTGTCTTCGCCGTCTTGCTGCAGCTAAGAAACGCGTCCTGTAGGCGGCCTCCATGAAGTGAAGGCGTCCTGGCTGCTCCTGTATCTCTCCGCCGCCGTTCTCCCGAGTCCTTTATCACCCGTAGGACCTGCCCCACTATTTTTTAGGCATTATAACGGACAAACAATGAGCTACTTCCATCAAATCAGCAGCTTCAAGCGCTTCAATCTCGACCAATTGGTCTATCAGGTAACTATAACACTTTCTTTCTCTTCTATCGTGAGCGGCAAGGCAATGGCAATGGCAAATGGCGGTGGAAAATCGACCCTGGCAAGGTCTGATCATCTTTTTTTGCTGTTTTTGTGCGAAAAGGTTCGAAGCCAGGGGCTGGTCAGCCATGTTACACAGAGATATCAAGTTCCCTCGCTTTCTTTTTGCACTTCTTGTGGACTTAGGCGATTTTACAGCTTGCTGGCACCGCCAACAACGCATTGGGAATCGCGTTTTGGCCGCCATTTTGCGCAAAGGCATTGCTTTTGGGCAAAACACTTTCCTCAGCGAGTGCCAGCACCGTCAGATGGTCATATTGCATCGTAAAGACATGCGGACTGACTTTTGCCTTGATAGCGGACTTGTGTGATGAAGCAGTTCGCCAGCTCCAAGCTCGAACAACATCATTTTGGTCACTCCTTGCTCCTGGACTCGCCGTACAGCTTTGAGACTCCGATGGTGTGCGCACAGGTGAGAGCCAACCAGCGAGCTGAATGCGCCCTCTGGTCACGAACCCACGCAACATAACTCCGGCAACCATGCGACAACCTCTTTTGCAAAACACGGCCCCCACTACAGCCAGTAACGCCTTCGGATTACTGCGTGTCCGAAGTTGTTCGTTCTTCTCCGTTCACCCTCTTACAGACGGCTCGGCGGCAAGCGATGGGCGGCGAGGGCGTCCACATCAATCGCCTGGACACTCGAGCGACCTTTGCCGCCACCGAGAAGCCTTTCCTCAATGCGCGATCGCTGAATAACAGCCACTCCAATGTCAGCAAAGCCGACCCACGCGCGAGAGCAACGAAAGTCACGGCAGGCGAACATCGACCTCCTCACTCACGATATGCACTCAGCCGTGACCGTCGACCTGATATGCCAAACACGATTCTTCGAACGCCCACAAGTCGCCTGCAATGCAGCAACTCCGACCTCCCTTACCGAACAACATCATCCCGCCTGTTTGCCTCACGAGGTCGATCCTCCTCCCTACCAAACGTCGGCGCGAACCAATCTCAATCACTCGAGAAGAGTACATGCTGAGTGCAGTACAAGATGGACCGCGGAGAGGCGAACCGATGCATGTGCAGCCGATTCAGGCTTGGAGGAGCGGATCGAGAACATCGACCAGACAGGGAAAGGATCTCTACAATCTTGAGCGTCACCGGGCTGAGCTCGCACCGGTGTCAAAAGGTAGGTGATTGGGCTTGGAGTCGGACGGACATGGTGAGTGTATGAAGAAGAGCCGGATGATATTTCTTGGGTAAGATGCCCTATTGCGATCATCGAGACACTGAATGACGGTAGAGTCGTCGATGTCAAGATAAATTGATGCTATATGCGTCCGAAGATGGAGGAAGACAGCATAGGGAAAGCATGCTCCGATAACAAAGCAGTCGCACTGTACGGACGGTTCCGTGCCCATATTCCAGACCGGCGAACATTCGACAAAGAATTACGCTCAGGACAACGTTTCAGGTATTTCGGCGCCGTCACGGCAGCATTTCTTCAACCCGCCCAATTTCCGCTGCTCTGGTGGTGTGACGCACGAGGACCCGATGGATTACCTCTGGCAATGTTGACATAAGCCGCAACTCATACCGTCAACGCGGAAGTCGCGCAATATGTTGTAGCAAGCACGAATGATCTCTCTGTCACATACAGCCAGCATGTCGATCGGCATGCCGATGCCAGCAACTCCACATACCTCGAACAGCCCGACGCAAGGGCGAAGCTCAGCGGCAACGACCAATGCTCTCCACCGCACGGAACCACAATCTCGGGACCCGGCAAGTTCCATATGGCACGCTCAGGAATTCAGACTTCGTGTTGCCATTAGCATTGACCAATACGGGCCACCATTTGGGAGAACGTGATGGCAGCACTGTCCACCTGGAACACCAGCAGTGTAATCTTCGGGAACTATGCTGGGACGACGACCTCCCAGCAAGACAGAGTGGAATGCTTGAGCATGGCCGTCTTGCAGGCATCGACCACCGTTGTGCCATATATGAACTCGCGTGGGGACCATGAAGAATCATCTCACCATCAGGTCGACGATTTGAATTCGACGACCTAGAATCTTTCGTTCAACAAGGTCTCTCACGGATTGACTGCCACTTCGCTCATTCAAGATGGCACCCAACCCACAGGTCCCCAGCCTCGGAGGCATCCTAGGAGGTGCTGCTGCTCCAGCACCAGCTGCATCTATCGTCGGAGCAGCTCCGAGTCTTGCCGCTCCAGCAGCTATTTCCAATGTCGCAGGAGCCGTTCCTGTCGCTGCAGCACTGCCAACAAATGTTGCTGTTCCATCAGCAAACGGTCTCCCAAATGTCGCCATCCCAACTGGAAGCATCTTGTCCGTCACCGGCCAGACCGTAGTCCCACTCGCTTCGACTGCACTAGTTCAGTCTCTGGCTGGTCTGCCAATCAACTCCGGCATCCCAGGTCTGCCGTCCTTGGCCGGCGCTCTTTCTGGCCTGCCACTTCCAACGACCGCATTGTCGCCAGATCTCCCACTGTCGTCGCTCCCGACGAACGTGCAGTCCTTGATCCCATCTGGTGTGCCGCTCTCCTTGCCACTGAGCGCTCCCATCTCGGTCTTGCCATCGAGCGTCTTGGAGACTCTTCCAACTGGCCTTCCAGGCAACCTTCCCCTGTCGGCTCTGCCAATTCAGAACCCGGCTCTGCCAACTGGCCTTCCATACGTCCCACTCGAGGCCATCTCGCCCGTTCAGGCTATTCTGGCTACTTTGGGCGAAAGCTTGATTAGCAAGCTCACTGATCAGCTTGCCACGATCATTGCCACGATCACTAGCGCAGTGGCCAATGTTCCTGTTTCGGGCAATCCGACTGCTGTACTCGCCGGCCTCAGCCGTCACTCGATGAACACGGAGGAGTCTGAGAAGTCTGAGGAGAAGCGTCAATTGCCTGACGTTCCAGGCAGCCAGGCCGTCGGCGGTGCTGTCAACACTGTCACCAACCTTCTCGGCGGTGTGACTGGCGGTCTGAGCGGAGGCGCTGCTGGCGGTAGCTCCCCACTTGCCCAGCTTGGTGCTCTGACAGGCGTCACTTCTGCCTTGACTGGAGGTGTCCTCGCCAACAGCAACCCACTTTCGTTCTTGACTGGCGGCGCCTTGAAGCCTCTCACTGATGGCTCTCTGATCCCAGTTGGCAGCATCGTGGGAGGTCTCACTGGCAACAGCGGCGGAAACATCCTCTCTGGTGTCCAGAGCTCTCTCGGAAGCGCCGTTTCAAACGGTCTCGGACTTGCAGGCAACGCCGCCAACCCTCTGGCCGGCGTGCAGAACACTGTGCAAGGTGCCATTTCCGGCCTCACAGGCGGTGCAGCAGGCGGCAACCCTCTCGGTGGTCTTCTCTCCGGTCTTTCTCTGAGCGGTGGCCCGCTGTCCAGCGTTACTGGTGTGCTCGGTAACCTTGGTCTCGGATCGATCGTCTTGAACGTCGTAAGTCTTCGGCATATCCCAACAGCTCTTCTCCAACAGTAAAGCTAACGATTTTAGGTTTCCCTGCTCCCAGTCCCACAAAGCCTTCAAGACATCGTCACCTCCCTCGTCTCCACAGTCACCACCTCTCCCGCCAACCTCCTCACCAACCTCCCAACAGGCCAACTCACCCAACTTCAATCCGCCCTGTCCCTGCTCAACCTCTTCTCCTCCCTCAACATTGGCTCGCTCGGCCCTCTCCGCGACCTGACCAATGTCCCAGCAATTCAATCCGCCGCCTCGCAAATCAACACCCAGGACCTCCTCACCACTCTCTCCCTCCTCAAGACCCCATCTTTCCTCCCAACCAACTTGGCTTCTCCAGGAGCTCTGCTCTCTAACCCAACTGAGTTGCTTTCCACGATCCAGAAATTGAGCACACAGGTCCAACAGCCCAGCCCAGCTGCTGCTTTCCTCCTTCTGCAGCAAATTAACGCTGGCGGTCTTGGAGACCTCGTCTCTGCTCTCCCATCTGCCGCTCCAGCTGTCCCAGCTGCACCATCTGCTCCAGCTCTGCCAAACTTGGGCGCTCTCACTGGAGGCCTCAGTGGAGCTGCTCCAGCTTCCGCCAGCGCGAACGTCGGTGCGAATGGCAATGCTGGAACAACAATCGGCAGGGGAAGGATGATGGACAATGAGATGATGGATGAGGAGGAGGTTGCTGAGGAGTAAGAGATGAAAGATGACAGGATGGAGCTGGATGAGTGAGAGGAGTATGCTGGTGTTGTTGAGATGGACAACGGTTCGAGCGTAGAAGTGTAGCGTTGAAAGGAAAATTGATTTGGGGATGTCTTACGAAGGATCAAGAACAGGATGAAGAACGAGATGAGAGTAGCTTACGATTGAGTATCAAAACCTCATTTTCTGCAGTTGTTGCTACTGCTGCTGCGATTGCCGATCTTCTTCTGGAGACTTCGCTCTCAATCCAGTCTGTGTTGTTGAGGCTGAAGGTCAGAATCGGATGTTCTGTGGTTCCTGATGACGGAGACGTGAATTGTACCCATTGCTCCGCCTTCGAAGCTGCTGGATAGAGGAGAGTCGTCGACGAGTGTGGTTCTCTGCCTACAGCGGCTTGAACGGAACCGTGTCATTTTCATACTGAAAGCTGTAGGCCAGAGCACACGTAGAGCAGCAGGAGTGTAAAATCAGTTTGGACGCATGAAGAAGCATACGTTGTAGCAGCGAAAAGCTGGAAGACGCGTGCAGTCTGTGTTGTTGTCTTCGCCGGCTTCCCCAATCCGTCCTCCCGAACGATCTTCAGACTTGGCGTCTCTCGGATCCAATCTGCACAATGACAGCTGCCATCCAGCTTTCATCAACTTCACGATACCCACAAGGCTGTTCATCACGTCCGCAGCTGCAGCCCAGACCCAAGAATACATGTCTTCAGAGCCGGAAATAATCCTCAGTCCCACACCAACAGCCTCGGCCATGCGAAGCTTCCAGCGGAAGAGGGTCAAGTCCTCCGTTACGAGCGGGGCAGCTTGCATGACGGAGCAACCAGAACCAGCAGCATCATCTCCGTAAGTGAGGGGTCAGACCGTGTAGCATGGGAGAGGGACGCTGCAGAGACAGGTAGGAGAAGGACTGGAAGAGGAAGCTGTTTCATACTACTTTCCTACTGCTGCTATTATACTGCTTGCCATCAAGGTGATCATATTGACTTCCCACCAAGCCCACTCAGCGGACGATGTCGTCTTTCCAACCACCGAAGAGTATGCGAGCTGTTGTGCTCAAGGGTGATTATCATGTATGCATTGCTCTCCTCGCCATTCAATGCAGCTCAAGAGCACAAATTTATTGACCCAACCTCACGCGAATACAGGTCGAAGTCGAAGACCGCCCATACCCGAAAATCAAAAACCCCACCGATGCGATCCTCAAAGTCTCCTCGACCGCCCTCTGCGGCAGCGATCTGCACTTCTATCGAGGACACTTGAAGTGTCCGCCCAACTTCATTTGTGGGCATGAATTTGTGGGAGAGATTGTGGAGAAGGGAGATGCGGTGAAGAAGTTTAATATTGGGGATAAGGTGAGCAGTGCCGGATGAGAATGGGGAGGGAAGAGCAAGACATGAGCTGATACTGAAGCATGCGATGTAGGTTGTGGTGCCATTCTACACAGCTTGTGGAGAGTGCTACTATTGTGTGAGAGGACAGGCTTCGCGATGCGCGAAGGGAGAGCTGTTTGGCAATTCGGCGCCGGCGAATACGATTGATGGTATACCATCCTGCACAACCATTGAGCTGCAGAGATGTTGAATCTGACAATTTCTTTTAGGCGGCCAAGCCGAATACGTTCGCTGTCCATTGGCAGACACGACCTTCGTCCTCACGCCAAAAGGCATTCCTGAGGAGATGCTGGTCTTGATGGGTACAGAACTTCTCATCCCAGCATTCATCCACTGCTTCTAACCAAATGGACAGCCGACATCTTCCCCACCGGCTACTACGCCGCCTCCCGCTACCTCAAGAACCTCCCCGAGCGCGATCGCAAAGAATACACCGTCGTCTGCGTCGGCTGCGGCCCCGTCGGAATCTGCGCCATAACCTGCGCCCTCACCATGGTCAACACGGTCTACGCCATCGACTCCGTCCCCGAACGCCTCGAGCAAGCCGCCGCCCTCGGCGCCATCCCCATCAACCTCAGCGATAACCCCGTCCAAAAGATCAAAGACGCCACGCAAGGTCGTGGAGCAGACGTTGTCATGGAAGTTGTGGGTCATGCAGACGCGTGGAATATGGCATTTGATATGATCAGGCCTTGGGGCGCGATTAGTAGTATTGGAGTTCATACGGAGAAGTGGGAGGTTAATGGGTTGATGTTGTATGGGAAGAATGTGCAGATGGCGTTTGGACGGTGTCCCGTGAGGAGTATTTTTGAGGAGGCGTTGGAGTTGCTTGTGCAGGAGCAGAAGAAGGTGGCGTTTTTGTGTGGGAAGACGATGAGCTTGGAGGATGCGCCGCAGGCTTATAAGGTGAGTGGTCCTTTTTCATGATGGCTGGGAGGGAGAGATGGGAAGGGAGTGGGTCTGGCTGACTTTTGATTGTGCAGGACTTTGAACAGAGAAAGGTGCATAAGATTGTGTTCAAGATGGGGGATAATGTTAAGGAGAAGGAGATCGCGGCAAGTGGGCAGTAGAACAGATTACCAAACTCTCGATGAATGGATTGGACTGTGTCATGCGATCTATCTGGAAAGCTGCAGTGCCTTTGTGGGCTGCAATGATCTCTCGCGCCTTCCATCCATGGGTTGACTGTTCCGCTTAAGATTCGAAGAACCTCCATTTGGAGTCTTCCTCGCTGATGATGGAACCTTTGATCGTAATAACGTTTATTTTCTCTTCAAGGACAACCTCTTCCTTCGACTCTATCGAAAGCCCGGACCCTTTCCAGGTTCGCTGGAAACGTGGTCCAGTTGCGCGCTTGCTTGTCGTTATCGTCCAGGCGAATAAATCGCGATCATCGGCGTGACAAGAGAGCGTGAAGTCAATGGGCGCCACAGATGTTTCCGCAGCCAACACCCTAGGCCTGTCCACGTCTCGACGGATGCTCGAAAAGGCAGAAAAATCTACAATATCCTGAGGATGGTTATAGCGGAAGCCAATGTCCACCACGTGGCGATCGAGACCCAACATCTCTACCCTTACTCCAGCACAGCATGTCCCACTCTCAATGAACGGCAGATTCTGCGCCAGCAATACATCGGTCCGAGAATTCCAAGCCTCCGGCGGGACAGCGTCAAGTATTCGTATCTTTTGAGTTGATTCTTCTTCCACACGAAGCCAAAGCTTCGAAAAAGTGTTAAAGGATTGCGAATGGCATAAGAGCGGCGGTACGAACGTGCTTGGATGCTTTGTCAAGATGGTGGCCGGCCTGTCGTCCCTTTCTGCATCTTTAGTCATTGGAAAAACTATGACCTCTGTGTGCATAATACTATGCTGTGCCTGAAATGGATTCATCTTGCCATTGGCAATCCAATAATCATTAGCTGCATTTGGACTAGGGAGCTCGAGGAAGCTCCAGCGATCCTGTACTGTGGTGGGCGAATCCGCTCGACATAATCTCAACGCAAGTGGACCACGCATATCATCTTCTAGGCGACAGTTCAGCAGTGCGAACGTTGTGTCCATCAATGTGATCGTGGATAATCGTCTGAATTCCAGTCCGCGATTCGTGAGTCGAAAGTCCGTATCGACCGTCTTCGCATGCCATGGAACAACTTTCGCTCCGACGTGGAATTGATCTGGAGACTCGGCTAAAATAAGCTCGGTCCCGTTCTTCGAAGTCTTTGGCTGATGAACGAGAAAGGACAGATCTGTTGAGTTCTTGATGATCTCTTCTTGAAGACGAATAAAGGCTTTCTCTCCTTCTCCGTATAATAGAGGCATACGGATGTCGAAGAGTCCCAGTAAAGAATATGCACGATCTTCTTTATAACTTGTCTTACGTCCAGCAGCCCACGACATCTTCTTCGCGATGGTATGGGCGGGATCCGATAGCCATGCAGGATTCACGATTACTCTTCTATCAATGCCTGTTATGCTTCGCAGACTATTTGACAAGCACCTTTTGACACCCAAGATGGACCATGCCGAGTCGAAGAACACAACGTGCTCAGGAGCGATGAGCTCCTGAAGCGTCCAACCTCTGACAGACCAGCGACTCTTCGCGACCTTCTCGTGCCAAAACTCTTGAGCGGCCAGGCAGAGCCATTGTGGCTCGCGGGGGTCGTGGATCAGCATCTCGTCTACCATGAGCAGGCCTTCCGACCGGTGCGGTGACCCAAATATGTACTTGTGGTACGCAGACTCGCTGGCAGAAGTCCACCAGCGGTCGATGGCTTCAGTGAGCTCGGGGCTGTAGGATCCCACGTCAGACAAGAACGCATAGCAAACATCTGCATTCTCATAGTATCGCCACATCGAATTGATAGCTTCCGACAGCTCAGCGCTGGACTCTTTATTGATACAGCAGGTGTCCACCCAGGCATATTTCAGACCATCTTTCTGTGCCTGATCGCAAGTCTGCATAATCTTTGCATAACCCTTCTTCCCCTTGGCTGTCCCGGCTCGGAACTCCTGGTGAGTGACTTCTTCGTCGTTCCACGTGTGGCTAAGGATTGCATAGCTGATCCAGTTGCCGCTCATGAAAAACTTGAGTTTTCTTGTCTCAACGTCGATAAACCACATTTCGGACCAGGACTCGCAGAATTCCAGGATTCGCGGAAAGAGTAACGTGATGTTTAGTCGGTATTGCGTCGATCACGATGTCCGAAGCTGCCCACTTGCATGCTTCTGCCACAATGTTGTCTACCAGCACAATCCGTTGACGGCACAGCCCCGCCCCAGCCTCGTCTGATGTGTGGTGACCTCAAGCCACAACATCATCCTGCAGATCTCTTCGCAAAGAAGGCCAAGCTTCAAGTTCATGGTCTGCAAATGCCATTGATGAGTGAACGATTCAATCACGCACAACCACAACGAAGAATGGTCACCACATCCTCTTCCATAGTCCACTATGCGATGCCGCTGTATCCGAAACTGCAAGTCTTCACACCGCATCGAAGCTGATACTCCACCGAAAGGAGCAATTCCAAGCACGTTCTTTGGCTTGAAGGCCTTCGTTCCAAGTCAGAAACCGTCCCAAGTCTATTAGCATCGTGGCGCGAACAATATACGCGACCGAAGGAATACCAAGAACATAAGATCGACAGCAAGGAAGAAGAAAGTCGAGCATGAGAAGGTTTAATGTATTTCGGCGTCAGGCCGATTCTTATCTGATATTGCTTCTTCATTTGATCATTCTTACTCATATGGGTCGTCTCCCTCATTTGACGCTTGTCCTGTCTTCGACGCACCCCTTCAGTGTCGTCGATGTTTTGCCGCCGGGTCTTCGGCTGGCCCTTTGCCGGCGAGTCTGGATTCGCCGCCCGCTTTTGTGGATGCTTACTGGCAGTCGGCGTGGACTTGAACGGTTGTTTTTGGACAGACTTTCACGAAGACGATACCGGTGGAACGGCTTTTGTCTGGACGGACCTGGGCGTGTTGAGGGTCGTGCCCTCGAGCAAGTTGATTGGTTCCTCTGCGCTGCTACTGCCGACGGTGGGGACGTTCTCCGGCGCGCTGTCGCCTTTGGGCTCTTTTTTGATGTAGACGAATGTCTCTACAGACTTGCGCGTCGTGGAAGCCACCGACTGTGTGCGTCTGAGCACAATGCTGGGCGTGACTTCATACAGTCGGGCGGGCAAGCTGGCTCGAGTGGGAACGTTTGTCTTCGCCGACGAGGATTGGCCGACTTTGGTGGAGGCTTCTTGCTGTCCTGCACGACCTGAGAGACTCATCGTGCTCGTCCAGTAGGCGAGGGAGCCGTACCCAGTACTGAGCGTTGCACCGCACCGCAGAGGTGTCTCGCTCTTTCTGCACGGCTGTTTCCCACTCGTCTCACAGTCAAGTGGAGGCAGCGTTGATCACTCGAACCACAAATTTCTCTGGGTATGAGCGGCCTTGTCGCTGCTTCGCAGAACTGTTGAAGGCAGAGCTGGTGAACTCGCTCAGACGACCCTCGTTTTTCCTGGAGTTCCAGCCGCGTTTGAGCCGGGATTCTTGTCCCTGGACTGCCACCAGAGCTGCTTCACTTTGGTTACTGTCACGCCTGATCGTTTCATCGTTGTAAAATTCTTTTCCGCGGTGCTTGCAGTCTGAGGTGCGCCAGTGATCGTAAATATGTTGCTTGCGAAAAAAGCGTCCATGGCAGAGCTGGCGAACGCGCTCAGACGACCAGCGTCCGGTCCGAAGTCTCAACCTCGTTTGCTCTGGGACAGGTTGGGCTGCAACAGGAAAGGCAGCTCCGACTGAATCGTCCAGGGTGGGATGAGTCGCGGAGACGACAGGACCCCACAAAGCGCTTCAGATAGTTCCGAATCCTTCATCTGCAGCAGGGCATTGACGAGCAGTGTGCCGATCAGAAAGTGCCACACCAAAAGAATTGCTGCCCTTGCGCTTCTCCCCGGCAGAGGCCTGCGATGCGCCAGTTGTTGCGAAAGCAGATGACATCGACTTTGCTTCGATGGAAGCGAACGAGCAGCAAAGGTAGTAGGCTGCGCAGGAATAGCAATTGACAAAAACAATGCCGGTGAACTCGTCGTGACGGCACCGAGTGCGATCCAGTTGTCCAGCAATGCATCTCTCAAAGACATATTGCCCACTCCGGAGATTTCGCTCATGATACAACTGCCCGGGGCCTGCATGTCCTCGATTGTACTGAATCCTTTCGTGGTTGCCTCCTCCTGCGCCTGTGCGCTAAGCACCCAACAGCAATGGTAGCTTGGGTGGTGGAATCCGTACCTGGCGAACAAGGAGTCCAGCGGCATCCACTCTGCAATCGAGACGAGCAGGCCCTTCCGCATGCAAGGGTCCGAGTGTGTCCAGTTGTAGTGTGAACATGGTGCGTAATTTGCGTATTGCGAAGGGATGATGTGACGAACGCGTATAGTTGAGACTGAAGTTGCGTTTAGATGTTGTGAAAGTTGCGTATAGTTTGTCTGAATATGAAGTATAGTCCCGCGAATGAAGCGAATGAAAAATTGGCCTGTTCCTCGAATGACAACAGTCGCCGTGCAGCAATCAGCGTGGCCGAAAGTCGTGACTAGCCTCGGTAGGTGTCGCCGTTGGAAGTATGAATGTCACCACGAATCTCGCTCAACTCTCTGCGGAGGCTCTCCAGAACTTCTGCGCTTCGGTTACTTGGCGGAGGATTCGGTGCTTGGGCGCGAGGAGCCGGTGGGTCCGGATGAACAGGAGTTGATGGGGGAGTCGATGCTTGGGCGCGTGGAGCCGGTGGGACCTGACATTGGAGGCATATCGTTGCAGAAACGTGCAATTGAGGATCCAAGCTGACAAGCGGTACGAAGCTCCAGGAACTTGTCCAGGAACTTGTTATAGAGTTTGTGTTGTTGAGTATAGGCGTATATAGTTGGAAGAGTGAAAGCATTGCAGTGATGAAGCGGAGCGTTCCAACAGGGCAAGATAGGACCTGCAAAGGCGAGAGATTCGAACTGTGGACGCAGAGCAACCGATGTGCTTTTCATATTGCCTTTGCGTCCGCTTCTGCCGTGCTGAGAAAGACTGGCTGCCGGGACAGGATGCGTTTGAGGCGGGCAGTTGTCCTTGGGTCGTAACTCGTGGAGGAGTAAAATTGGCGATCTGTTGGAAGGTATCTCAACAAACATACGCAAAAGATCTCCTGGAGTCGTCGAAGGTGCACTTGAAGGGCTTCAACTTTTCGTGGACAGCGCGAACATGTCCAAAACAAGCGAGAGCCAGGCAATGACGGCGGTCATACTCTAGAAAAGCCGCGGCTCAAGGAGATTCGGACGTCCAGCCGACGCGAGGCAGTCAGTGGGTATCCAAAATGCAAGAGACGTATAGCATGATGGTGTTGAGAGGAGTGTGTATGGTGATCTTGTGAATTGCATATATAGATGAAGCTCAGTGAACATATTGAAAAGGAAAAGAGGCATATTGAGCAAGGAAAGAAAATGTGAGTTTGCATTCGGGCATGACTGGAGGCTGTGTTGCACTTTTGAATGCTGCTCAATCCATGTGGATCGAGCGATGCAAAACAAGAACGACAGACTGTCTTCCTCGTCCCCACCTTGATGTATTGGGTGAAGCATCTAGCCGCGGGCCTCATCACCACTTCGCTCGGCGTGGCAGCATCATGCTCGTGGGCATGACGATCTGTGGACAACGTTAGCAATCAGACCCGCTGGAGACAAAGAAGATATTCTTGAGTTCCTGCTGCGACCCTTGTCGTGCTGCACAATGCCGTTGTCCGAATCGCCGTCCAAACGACAAAGCGGAGCACAAAGCCTTCTTGGAAAGAGAACTGCGTTCGTCAATGGACTGTGCAACCAGAAGCAAATAAAACATTGCCAGCATCCCAGGAGACCGACTCTTCGTACATCACATTTGACCTGCACAGATCAGCTCATTTCCGGATCAAGAACTTGCACGCGGCTGGCCGCGTCGAAACGATATCGAAAATGAGCTCCCTGCGTATCATGTACGAGAACAAGTATGGACCACGCCACAACGAAGGACCACTTGACGTGGTCTATGAGATTGAATCCGAATATCAGGCTAACATTTCCCAGAACTGGAACCCCATGCCCGTCGATGAGCAGCAAGAATGCTTCGCCTTCGTGACAAGCGGCTGGGTTTGGGGAACGTCTCTTGAAGCTCAGATCGTGCCTGAGATTATTGGCGGTGTGATAGTGCAGTCATCCAAACGCTCCACGCAGGTTCCCGAGGCTGCTGACCCTGTCGAAGGGAAGCGAGGTAGCACGAAAACAGCGAACAGACTGAAGAAGCGGAGGTCGGGCCCGAAGATCAGAGATTTCCGGGAGGCTGTAGATACCCGTCGGCACCGTGCAGCTGAGGTCTTGCGAGCAGACAGAGCTCGTCGTGAAGCGATGCGAGAGCGGAGACACCGCGCGGATCGTCGTCAGCAGCTGACGGAAACTGAGTGGCATCGGTCAGGCGTAGCCGAAGAGTTCTACCAGCTGTTTCATTAGAGCGATCTGTATCAGAGATCAGTAGCTGGAAAAAGATCCTCGGAAGGTAGAATGTGTGTCAATGTCAACGGTACGTTAATTCATCGATGTAATCGGTTAAGGCGGCGCTGTGCAAAGAGGTCCAGATATAAAATAGAGAAGTCCAAAAAACGCGGTAAACTCGTCGTACAGGGTTCCAGTGTTCGAATTGTATCATGCAAAATGCAATAATTGCTTCGGAGAGAATTCGCGAATCGTCAGCTCAAAGTTCGGCAACTGTACTTCAGAGTCAAGAATCTGCATCGTGTGCGAGCAACTGGGCTCTGTGGTACCACGTATTGGCGGTCCCAGTCGCAGGCACACGTGGTTTTCCATTCGAAGAGACGTGCCCAGCTGAGTTGCATGCCTACGCCATAGCCCGTGAGGTCGATGACGCAGGAGCCCGCCGCTGCTTGTGAGTCTCACTCGCGGAAGCGACTGGTGTTGGGGGCTTCTGCACCAGGGCTCGATACCTTTGCTCCAGCTTTAGAATCTCATCTTTCCTAGCATCCAGTGGAATGTCTTTGTAGTGCACGGCTTCGATCTCATCGAGCACGCCTTTACATTGGGTTTGCCACTGGATGAGGGCTTCGGCATCCGCGTTGTCAACAGCTAGGCTATGTCAGTATTGGACATCAGAGAGTCATCACTCATGAGCTTACCATGTCTTCTCAGTCTCGACCACCATGACTTCTTCTGCTCGACCAGCTTGATGTTGAGGAACATGCCCTCGGGTACGTCTTCCCAGAGGTCTTCATCGTCGATGTCGATCAAGTGTTCGGAGTACTTGGAAAATGCATCGCTCTGCCACAGGAAGTCATCTCCAATGAGAACACCGGCGGGCAGTCCTGGCAAAATGTAGAAGTTGCGAATGTAGCTATCATCAAAACGACCATCTCCGAAGCGGAACTCGACGTCACGGACCATTCCTGATGTCCTGGTGATGAGACCACCAGGTAGTTCAACGAAGACACGATGCTCAACGTCTGTTAAGATATCGTCATGCTCGTAGCCAAGCTCAGCGAGCATTTCCGGGGACAGAAGATCCAGATCCGAGCAAGTATCAGCCAGAGCGGCCACTTTGACACCCTCACAGTACCCCTTCAGGCGAACGTGAGATCCTCCTTGGTAGAATAATCGAGGCATGGCCGAGAGCCTAGATCTTCGAAGGATGCGGTCCTTGAAGCGCTCAGTCAAGATCTTGGTCGCTGCCAGGAATTTGCCGCCCAGAGTGACAGCGTACTCGCAGAATCGAGCTGGGATGATATCGAAGTCAACGATGTATTTGGTGTGTGTTTCTTTCCCGAATTCCCAAGGCAGACGAACTGTTGCGAGGGTCTTGAACGCCTTCTGCCCATTGCCGACAACGATATGTCGTTCGTTCTTCCTCCCGTACGGTATTCCCCTGGTGCTTAGGTAAGCCTCGCTGATGAAATTCCCAGCGCAACTATCCGCGAGAGCCTCTACGCGCATACCATCTAGCTGGCCAGTCGTGATCCATTCACGTGAGACCAGGTTATGCCCACTACTATTGGTTGCGACCCGCTTGTATGAATTGTGGGTCAAGGACCTTGTTTTCTCTTCGTATTGTGTCGCCTCCTCGAATGAGACGTTTGCATCGATTCTGCTCTCGTCCACGCTCAGACCCGTCCGTGAAGTCTGTAGTCCTCGCTCGATGCCTTTGATACCACCGAGCGCAGCGTATGCGCCCAACGACTTGGGATTAAGCAGCTTGTTGAGCTGACCAGGGGAGAAAGCGAACTTGTTGTCCTTGACTTCAAAGTCCTTTTCCGTGCTAGGATCTGGTCTCAGCGCATCTTCCCGCACTTCGTGACTGAATATGCTTGAAGCGCTGCTTCCCTTCTCGCCATATGATGTGTCTGGCACTTTGAGAGTCGTATACTGCGTGCTTCCGCTAAGTCCACTCGAAAATCGTTTGCGGCCATGCGATGTTGGTGTTTCGCTGCCGGCGTCGGGCCTGGCTCCTGCACGCTCGTCGAGTATCGTGCTTTTAGCCATACGAGGAGCTGCATCATCTTGAGTCATGCTGTGGTCGCTGTGAGGCACGAAGGTCAGAAACGATGACGGTTCGTCTGTGAATTGGCTGAGTTCGGGGATCGCAACAGCATCACCTGTTCGACACTTGGAATTGAAGACCAGACAATTGCCATGACTAGCAGCGTCGAAAAGGGTATTCAACGCAGTCCTCATGGCTTACCAGGCTTGGCATCGTTCACAGCGAGAGACCCGGACCATGAAACATACATCTTCCGAAGGTTCAACGACCTGACCGCGCGGAACCTTCTCCATCTGCAAAGCGAGTTGCTAGATCTGCGTCAGCAACTCTGCGAACTCGATAGCGATGCGACCAGTAGCACAGCAAGTGGCGAGCTCAAGGTCTGCATGCAAAACCCGCAACTGCTACACAAGCTTGCAGCCGAGCGTGATGGACCCGAGAAGAAGCTTGTCATGCTACTCGAGAAGGTCGAGAGAAAGCTGGACAAATACCGTAAGCAGTATAGCAACACCAAATGATGACGGCAGGTGACTGATCATCGCGCAAGAACGAGCGGTGCTCCAGGCGAGCGAAATGGCCCGGTTGAAGGGACCATCCGCTCGTGTCAAGAAAGCCTACCAGGATGCATTCAGCCAAATGAACATTAGCGGACCGGCTGCAAAAATGCTGGACGAACAGGCAGATCTAATCGCCCTGAAGCCGCCTCCAGAGGTCGATCCCTTGTCGTATCTCGTTCGGGAACATTGGCCCTTTCCAACTACAGTGAGTCGGTCGAAATTCTAAGGGCGAAGCCAGATGCGGTACTGACTTCTCTGACTTCTCCCAGAAACTGTCTGCAGTCGAAGTCGATCGAGCTCGTCACTTCCAAGAGCGCCGCGTCCGGTGGGTTGTATCGAGCGTGAGCATCAGCATTGCAGCTCTGCTTCTTGTTGGCTCAATCATAACGCTTTACCTCGTTCGCAATCCCGATGTTCGACTAGGGCTGTTGATAGTCTTCATTCTGCTGTTTGCGATCGGCATTCGCATCAGTACGAGTGCAAGTCGAGAGAACATCTTCGCAGCAACAGCAGCGTATGCTGCAGTCCTGGTGGTATTCGTCTCTGGCGATCTTGGACGCGCGAGGGTTGGGCAGAGGTGATGTGCTCTTTGAGTTGAAGTTGGACAACCTTGTAACCATTCCGGAGGAAGGTGTGCTCCAAGGAGACACTGACCAAGTGGCGTTCGCTGCCAGGTTCGAGCATTGGACTTCTCCTGCAAGCAGCAAAGCGCTCATGTCAAGCCAGTGGGGAAACGCTCCCACGAGCGGTTTCAAGCGACCGGTAGATCTGTTCTGGTAGGAGAACTGGCACCACTGCACATCTCAAATCCGATTGACGTCCTGATCTTCGCGTTTCGCTAGACGGTGCGTTGATTGAGCGAATAATGGCCCAGGTCATGTTGCTCAGCACACCCCAACCACGCCAAAAGCGAATATTCCGGTTGAGCTGCGACATGCAGCACGCGTGGCCCACTCGTTCGAAGTCAGCACTACATCTTCCGGCGTGTGCGTAGGCGACGGTGTCCGACGGCGGCTTCTTGATGGTACAAACCCGCAAGCTCCCTGCCTGTGTTGTACAGTGGCGCTCGCGAGCTTGCGAGCTTGTTTGGGTCGATCCTTCGTTGCAAGGATGCTTCTCAAGCTGATGGCTGCCGCCAGCACAAGTTGGAGTCAGCCGCCTCGAGCTCGATCACTTTTTCCCTCTCCTCTGGTTCCGTCTGCATTCGTTCCGCGGCTGTGCAAAGGTGGTTCGAGCACAGCAGTTGACGACATGTCCTCGCCATACTACAGCAAACCATCGGCGCCACTATATGGCACAGCACCAGATCGTAGCAGACAGCAACTTGTCAATCCTGCAGGTTCTTCAACCCCGGCCCCGTCATATTACGACTCGCCAGCGGACCCATACACATCGTCCGCGGGCCTCCCTCCCTCATACGGGATTCCGGTCGCGGGTCCATCTGGGGGGAACACAGCGTCAAGATTGCAGCCGCAAGTCCCGTAAGCACGCTCCAGCGTGTTCGCCACAACGATTAGAAGATGGCTGATAACTCTCAGGATCCAATACTGCTGCATGATAGCCAACTGTACCTATGCTGCAGGACGAAGGGCGGATCTCGAGCGTCACTATCATGCTATGCATCCGGCTCCAGGATCGACCGTTTCGCATGACTGCTCGTGGCCAGGATGCCATCGGAAGGGCAGTTATGGATTCGGGAGAAAAGACAAGATGGTGGAGCACATGCGCGAGGTGCACAAAGCCAACATCCCGAAGAAGAAGAATTGTGGAACAGAATCGAGACACCAGTCAAAGTCTGCAGATGGTCGTTATGGAAGCGAGGCCATGAATTCCAGCGACAAATATCGTCTTGAATGGCATGCGGTGTACGTTGTACCAGCTCATACTTTCAGGTCACCAGAGTAGAAGAGTTCGAGACGGCCTTGTGAGGCGGGAGTCCTCCATCCGAGATGATGGCCTGATGTCAGATGTCGTTGAAAGAAAAGTTGGAAAGTTCCAACCCCTTCACACACGTTGCACAAGCATTCCTGCCTGAGGCAACAAATTCACCTTTCCCGCATCTCGAATCCCAGAGCTCCGAAGCATAGACAGATTTCACCTCATCACTTCAGCGTGCACTCCGCTTCCGCCATGGCAAAACGTCCCACCGCTCGAGCGCGTGCCTCTCGTGTGACTTCCGCCACCTCCACAACTCCCGCCCTCGCCAACCTCAAATCCGAGTACCTTCTCTCCCAGCAAGGAAATTCCCGCTTGACGAAAAAGTCCAAACGAGACCAGAAGCATGATGCGCTTCTCGCTCGCGTCCGAGAAGGCTCAGGAATCAGCAAAGGCGGCAGATCTCGCGGCAATGGCACCAGCAAAACTCGCCGGCCGAACAAGAAGCTCAAAACCGACCTCGATGAGATGAAATCCGCCCTCGAAGACGTCGAGATGGAAGTCGAGAATAGCAGCGGCGACAATGGAGCAGAGAAGAGTGGCCCCTATGCTGAAGACGAATGGGAATGGGAAGGCGTATCCGACACATCGCAGACCAAAGGCGAAGGAGAAGACGACGACAGCATGGCGATCAGCGGCATAACGAATATCGGCAAACTTCGTCGACGAAGGCGCAAAGTTCCTGCTGCAGAAGGAGGCAAGATGGTCATGAAGAGTCTGAAGCATAGACCGGGCAGTATGAAGCGGAAGAAAGTGCTCGAGGAGAGGGAAATGGAGAGGTTTAAGCGGAATCTGGCGGAGTTGGCGAAGGCGGAGAGTCAGCAGGTTGTGGCTACTGGAGCAGGATCAGGCAATGCTGGAACAGGAGGACAGGAGCATATTCAACAGAGATGGAAGGCTTTGAGGGAGTTTATTGGGGGCACGATAGTGAAGGAGAAGGCTTTCGTGGGGACTTGAAGGGCAGGTCGACGAGGAGCGCATCACTGTATCGCCATCTACGAAGGGATCACCAACGTCTATGGCAGTCGATGGAGAGGTGTGTCTAGCATGATGTCCTGCAGCCCAGGACTTGGTGCACAGCATTTGAGCAGTGGCCGGCGATCGAGGTCGGGTCGCCCTCTTGGTCCTGCGCAGCGCGCGTACGAGCTCCCCTGAAGCAACGCCCAAAACCGATCGAGGCTCTTATCAAGCGCTTATGCCTATGGCCAAGGCCGCACGAATGCACATTGTCACGAGGCGAAGTCACTCAAGTTTCATTGGACCCGCTCCCAAGTGTACAGCCTTATCGCATGCAAGAAACGCTGCATATGCCTCTGCTAGGCTGGTGCTCATGCTAATGGTGTCCCTCAGCTGCCGATCCGTACGCAAATACTGCTCGCAGACTTCGCAATGTATTCTGCAATAGGCCACCAGACCTTCTTCTGATCCGGAACACTGCATACTGCGTTTGAGGCCGCTTGACCCCAACAAGCTTTGAGGCAAAGAGAATCTCAGCTCTCGGGAATGGTCTCAAGGTTTTAGCTTTTCGCTGTACCACCAAATCTCGAACCATCCTTAGAACCTTGTAGCCATAAGTACTACCACAGTCCCTTGCTCTGCCTGGCATCGAACATCTTACAACTGCTAACGCTCAATTCGCAACACACCAACACAACTATCTACCAACAACTCAACTCAACACCATTTTCTACCAACAACTCAACTCACCTCGACTCAACCACCAAAATGCCTCTCTCAACCTCCGCCATCTTCAATACCCTCCTCTTCCTCTCCTCCCTCCACCCCACAACCGCCCGCGTCCGAATCCGCACCTACACCTCCCCAACCACAACCTCCAACTCCACAGCTCTTCTCGCCTGCATAACCCAAATGCATTCGGACCTCCAAGCCAATCCTCGAGCACGCGCCATGCCAGGCTACACTTGCGGAAATTCAACTTTCTACTACGGAACTCCTGGACTTGGAGGCGCTACGGGAGAATCGGATTTGTATGCTGTGGAGAAGTGTGAGCCGGATATGACTGAGAGGGCGAGGGAGGGGAGGGATTGGTTTGAGTGTAGGGTTAGGGCCGCGTGGGGGGAGAGGAGGGTTGGGTGGAAGGGGCTTGAGGGAGAAGGGGAGATGGAGGAGGAGGAAGAGGAGCAGGAACTCGAAGAGCATGAGGAGCGTGATGTGATTGACGGAGCGGAGGGAGATGCTGAAGATGGGATGGAATATGACGAGGGTGACGAAACCTATGAAGTTGGCGAGGCGAACCTTGAGGAGGGTGATTGGAAGGATGAGATTGATGGTGAGGAATATGACGAAGATGCCGGGACTGATGACGAGGAGGACGATGAACAGAGTTAGGCGAAGAAGAATGACTCCTCAAGAAGAACCACGAACGTGTTGAGCTGACTTTGGAATGGCGATCCTGCTACTAACATCATTTTGGAGATGCGGACTGATGAAGCTTGTGTTGCTTGCAAAAAGCAAGGAAAAAAGAAAGAGTGACTGATGTATCACTATGGTCTTGGATACACTTCCATAATTGACATACAAGACATACATAGCCTTCAATAAATCCCCATAAAACCTTCCAACGTTATCTCTTCTCCATTGCCATGAGAATATCCAGCGTCGTGCAAGTACGAGTGTTACATACGGTCCCTGTAATTCACACAGCGGCTCTTTGATCGAGAGAGATGTACGTGCTTCAAATGAAGCAAATCTGGAATGCGTAGTTGCGCTCCGCCTTCCGACTGCAGAAGAATCGCGATGGACTTGGCATCAGTGGAATTGAGTATGAGTTGGGACTATTTCCTGAGCCAGCAGAATAGTTTGAGCTCGGAAGTAGCTACCCAGAAATGACTCCCGGATCACACACGCCTGGGACCCACGTTGATCAGAGCCATAGGCTTCTTCCTGACGTGTCAATCTGCATACGCAGATCTCCATCATGATACTTTCATTGTGCATTTGGGTCTCTGAAATAGTAAGGCGTCCGTCTTGTGTATTGACTCCGTTGCGCAAGTTGTGAAGATGCATGTATCTTCGCGTCAGTCACGTCACAGGATTGCTCTCGATGTTATCCCAAGCAGGTGTTCTACGAGAGCCTTTTCTCAGCCGCCAGTGTAACAGATTCGGGGTTGCTGGCCCGCCGCCTGTGTTGTTCGGCATTGGGATATGGCTGTTGACGACGAGTCGAGGCGCTGTAGCGATATTGTTTCACGTGTTGCTGCAAGGCGTCCTCCCTTTTCCCGCAAGGAGGGAGCATGACGGCCTGGGGCTCGCCGTATGGATCGCTTTGCTGGACCTAATGCTCTTATGGGATTCGCTTGATGGCATGAGCGACGCGCTGCTTCGAATTCGAGCCGTGCAGGAGGTTGTTCGTGGCCGCTGCTGGAGACCTTTGCGGGAGCAGTCGGCAGAAGGGTATGAGTGGACTACATGGTCACGCGGCGCTGAGCAGCTGGTGAACGGCGGCCGGTGGAATGCTCAGCGCAGTGGAGGAGTACGCGGTCGCCAGTCGCTTGAAGTCGGATCGCTGCTCGTAGAAAGGTGGAGGTCGGAAGGCAAAATATCCTGCGAACGCGAGATCTGGTCAGAGTGCAGGGGCAGCGCAGCTGGCTCGCCGTTCAGTGAGGACGTATCTTGCGGATGTCGAGCGCAGTCAGCGGAGTGGAAGTAGCTTGGATGACTCGGTCAATTCATCTGGAGGACGAAGAGTTGTCCGCCTTCGTCGTCAACCTGTTCTCTCAGCTTCCCTGAGCAGCGCAGTAAAGTCGTGCAAGTAGTAGATCTATGGGCATGCGCCTCAATGTGTACATTGGATCGCTGTAGAGGTGTTTATGTCCTGGACCTCAACATTGTCGATGCACTTTACATCTCGAAGCTCGACCGCCTGGTGGAGCAAGAGCTTTCTGGCTTCAATTTCTCCTCGTCGCCGTGGCTCTCCTTTTCGTGTAACGACCTCCTGCTTGAAGCAGCTTTGTATTCGTGAGCTTCGACACATGCTGCACATCAGAGAGGAGTCTTTCGTGGTCGCGATTGTCAGAATGTTGGCTGGGTACCCAGACACCTTGGTGGCGAGGGACCCGCTGGCTTCATGCAATCCTTCTCACACCAAACCTCTCTGACCACCACAACGTCTCTGTGCATTAAGTAGGTTGACATCCGCGTGCACTGAACTGTTCTGCAACTCAGAGCGTCCGCAATATTGAGCCAGCGGTGTGTTGTTGTGTAGAAACACTGCCCAAAACGTCCTCCCTCACCAAGCGCAGCCCCTCCTCGAGTCCTCCCTCTGGCTCTGCTCAGCCACGCAGCCACTAAGTCCCCCGCCACAAATTTGACATTTATATATCACAGAGTCAGCAGTAACTTTCGAGATCATCTCGGAGATCTCATTGGTGTTATGGAACACTTGTATCAGGTAAGTGGTCATTTCAGGCTTGTTCGGAGGATTGGGCAATTGGCAATGAAACCAATCAATGACTGTTGTGTCTGGCAAACATGCAGTAGATGAGTTTCCCCAGCTCCGCAAGGAGCTGGTTTTTTGCTGTTTTGTTTGGTGTTGCGGTTCGATTCTGGTTGCGGTTGTGTCTGAATCTAGGAGTGTGCGCGGCGATATCGACTTCTTTTTTGCCTTTTTAGCATTGCAGGCCAGCCACCACCTCAATAGTATCCATAGTGAGATGAAAAATTGCTTCATCTGCTGCTTTTGATGCTCAGCTCCTTTTGAACGCGCCATTGTGATGTTTGGAGTTTTGTTGGTGCCATCAAGTGTTTTGCCAACTGGATGGACTTAGTCGTTTCCAGCCACTGCACCAGTGACGCTCGCCCCTCACTCACTACTTGATGATCGAAGTCCTCAACACGACCACTTCGTCAAGCGAAAGTACCTTGCACTGATATCGCAGGCGCCTACAGCATCGGAAGACCTCCAGTCAACTGAACAGCGCCCCCACGCACTCGCAGCCTCATTGACGGCACTGACTGTCCAGCAGATCAACCATCATCCTCGCGCAGGCTGTCGCCGCATGTCGAAGAAGCATCTCAAGCTCCCGCAACAGCCTTTCATCCATCGGAACACATTCGTCGAGCGCTGGGCAACAAAGCCACAGCTTGATGCGACTGCCCTCGAAAGCCGCTGTCCACGACAGCGCTCCAGCCAGCGACAGCAACAACTCACGACGTCGACTTCGCAGCCGACCTTCCCTTATCGCAATCCTCGCGAACGGACCAGTACCCATCCGCTCCTCGCAGAGATCTATGTCGATGGCGCACCACGCAATCGCCTCCCCGTCCCCGCTTAGCGCCCGAACACACGCCTTCGATCGAACGCAACAGCAGCAAGAGGAGGGTACAAGATGCTTGAATGGCGAATGGACACCCTGAGGGCATTAAGACAAGCTTAGGACGGCTGTGTTATCGATGGGAATGGTCTGCCAGGGAGACGAGGGCTGGCGTGCAAAACAGGATACCTAGACTCAGACAGCGCACGTGGAAATCGATAGCTTCAAGTACTGTGTCCAGCGCACGTGGAAATCGATAGCTTCAAGTACTGTGTCCAGCGCATCTCTTTACGGTCCTCCTTACGAAACGTACAGTCTATTCGTATGCGCTGGCGGTCTCCCTTTTGAATCTCCTGGTCCGACCAGAGTACTGTCTCTCCATCGCAGATGAGCCTGGACGAGCGCTGCATGGAAGGGGAAGCACTAGCATGACAAGCAGTCGCTCATTGCGATGCGATATAGGGCGTCCTTAAGTGACACCGCTTGTCCATGTCAATAAGGTCCTGAGACATCTGCTTTACCATATGCGCACAAGCATATCTCGGGTCCGCAATGCAAGGAAGCACAAAGAACAGTTTCCTCCCCTCGACACCTGAATGTTCAGACAAAGGACTCAATATGTATTCAAGCCGCATGCAGCGTTGCTCAAGTAATGAAAGAGGTGAGCAGGCAACGAGGTAAGATTTAGCTCGCCTGCAGCCCAGATCGCCAAGGGCACTACCATGGTTCGCCAATCTGGATTTGGCTATGCTTACACTGCATGGTATCTTGACTTATGTCCCTACATTTGCATGGCTTCAAAGGGAATCTTTGCCGCAGTTCCCTGCGAATTCCTGAGGATGGCCTAATCTTGACAGTGGGCTCGATGTCGCACGCGATGGTATAGCTTGTCCCCCGCAGGAACGGTCTTGACGGAAAGAAGCTGTTCAACCATTCTCGGCCACGCGTAGACTTGATGCAAGTAGATAGAAGTGCAGGGTAAAGATGAGTTCCAGCAACAGGAACCGCAAACAACGAGACTCTGGCCACAGTGGGATGCTGCAATCCTGGGCGGTCATGGTCTGTACGAGACGAAGAAGAGGTATACCGGGCTCAGCGGAGAGCGGCTGCAGTGATCAATAGATACGACAAGACGCAAAGTACGATTTGACGAACACGGAACTTTGAAGATGTAAATGTCTCGCTGCAGTTCCAATGCAAGCAGCCCTTCATACGCCAGCCACGTCGGCCTCGATTCCTCCTGGCTTCTCGCGCCTCATAATTGCCAACCATACCTCCTCGCAGCCTTTCCCCACTGTCCATCTCCCTTTCCGCGGCCCCACTGACTGCGGTTCCCGAAGAGCTCTACCATCTCGTACTGGAAGAGGATGCCAGCGATCGTGGCCCGCAAGGCGGGAGTACATGCATGGGGATGATGAGATCCAGGCCCCAAGCTCCCTCCAACGTGCCGTGCAAGGCTTTGCCTCGCGATCTGGTAACGTATTGACTAAGCCACTGAAGCCTCCTCCTCTTGTGTTCTGACCGGACGAGGCTACCTTTCCCGATAGCCCGGTGCACGATACTGTCGGCCATCGTTCCTCCGATTCATTCATTGCCGCTCTCGGTGCGCATGATACGAAGTATGTCACCCAACTGCCGACCTAGGCTTTCGATTGCAAAGCGCGCAGCAGGGAAGCGAGCACGCTATTCGGATCGCGGGGTCATCGTCGTCTCGTAGCCCCTTGCGCTCGTGTGGCCAGGTGTAAGTGAAGGAAAGGAGAATCGGCGGCAGGCGGAGCGGGATTCTGAGCTTGTCCAGTGGAAAGTTGAGAACTCATGGATCAGGAGAGCACTGGGTGTTCCGCGCCTTCAGTAGGGACTGCCGTGCTGCGCTCAGCTATTTTTCGTGAGGCTAACGACAAGATGGAGAGGCGCAAAGGCTGGCTGACGGTCATCGCGGACTCTTGAGCAAGAACAAGAAGCCGTGAAAAGGAGTGATTCGTACCGAAGGCAAGGTTCATGTTGGCAATGGGAAACGGAAAGAAGGGGCCGCCAATATTGTATCACGTCAAGCTGTCAAATTCGTTGCCCCGGAAGCGCTCGCGAGTGACAGCCGCGATGGTGGAATTTGATCTTGCATGGTAGAGGCATGGATGATTTTGAAGCCCTTCGATGAGACTTCTTGATCACTGAAGTGCGCGTAGCTCGATAGGATGCCATGGATTGAAGCAGAAGAAGCAGAGAAGGGCGTGTTGTACCTATTCCTCCACCGTCTTCCTCCTCGACTCCCGTTGAGCAAAAGTTGTCTTCGTCAAGACCGTTGGCAGGCCATTCAGGCAGCAGAACGGAAGCAGGCACGCCGCGCCACGTCCGCTAGCGTGAAGGCCGTGCTCAAATGCCAAAGTTCTTCCCCCCAACTGCCAACTTCTCTTTCTCTTCCTCCACCTCCATCAGCATCATCTACACCGCCCATTCGCCCACGCACTACCATGGCAAAGCATCTGTCACAGAGATATCAAGCCCCAGAACTTGCTTCTGGAGGGCGTCGCGGTAAGCACCATTCCCCTCCCCTTCCCCATCGCCATCACTCATCAACACCGCCACCCATCTCCACCTTCCGCGGCTCCGTTGGCTCCTCTGGCCGTGAGACAGCGAGCTGTTCGCATCTTGGCTTCTCACCGCATGAAATGTTCAGCTCTGGCGCTTCCTTACAAACGTTCGCTTTGACTGCCTCGCCCTGCTTGAGAAGCTGTCCACAGCGGACTTCACATCGGGCCTCTCCATCGACACATCCTGTCCAAATGGCAGGCATCTTTACCTCCAGCGCCACGAATCTTGATCAATTCTCAGAGAGACCTCACTGACTGACAGTGCAAAAAGGGAAAAGCGGCGCAAACAGTTCTTGGTTGCTGGGGTTCCGATCTTACCTTCCGAGTCTTCTGACTTGAGAAGGGAAGTGGAGCGCGGCGGCGTCTGGGCGCGGGTAAGTCAAAGACCTCCCAAGCACTTACAGATCATACCATTTCACCATGAACGCCGCTTCGAAGTGAAGACAATTTCGAAATGCATATCTACCTCAACAGCTGCATGTGAAGGAGCAGCAGACCCGGCCACGACGACGAAGCAGGCCTCGATCTTCACTTCAAGCACATCCTCTCCTCCGCGCTCCCTCACACTCTCAACACAGCAACACAGAACCAACTGACTCGTGTTTCACAGGCTGCTGCTCACTGGCCAGGCGTCGTCGCGCTCGCGACAGCGGGAGACGGTGTTCAGTGCGGTGCGATGGGGCCGGTGGATGGTGAGCTTCCTCCTTTTTCGTCCTCTTTGATGGGGACCGCAGCTTGACTGACTCTTGCGCGCAGGATCCTTTCCAGCTATCAACGTTACCAAGAATCAGCGCTCGAACGACCACGCAGCGCCGTGCAGGGTATCGACTGCATCATCGACAAGTTTCGCAACAGCTCGATCATGTCGGAGTTCCCAGACTACCGCCCAAAGCTGTGGTACACCCCATCGTCCTCCATGCCTGAGCTTCGTCCGCAAACCCTCGACGCCAGATGGAGAAGGAGGAGTCGTGCTGCTTGGCTCCAGCATACGGCTACGACAATTACACTGCCGCTCCGAGCAAGCAGTACATCCAGCCACCAATGCCAGCGGCACAGTACCCAGCATTCATGCAATACATGCCAACCTCTGGTCCAGCCCTATACGTCTACAACCCACAGCCGTATCATGATCTACAGCCGAAGCAGTTCGGCGGCCAGTACATGCGGCCACCGGCACCTCAAGGCTGGCCACACCCGCCACCACCACAGGCCTTCGGTACTGCCTATGCAGGCAACCCACTCACCGCCTCAAGCCCTGGACGCTGCCTGAGCGAGCAATTTGCGGCAGGCTCCACGTGGCCTGGACGACAGTTGCGTTGCCGCGGATAATCCACATCCAGGTGCTGAAATGATTGGTGGTCTCATCGGTCACGCACCCACGGGCAACGAGAGCATCCCGAGCCGCCAACCCGCTGACTCAAGTCAATCTCAACCATTCGCAGACTGCGCCGGCGCGCGAGAACAGATGCTGCTCGGTCACCACGATTCCCTCGGTTCCAGTGGAAACCAGTTGTATTGGGTCATGCAGAGTGTTACGAGCAAGAGACGGACAAGGATATCAGTGTGTCGTATGCGACCACCTACCGAGGGGATTTGATCACGTTTCTGTTGCAGCTGCTATCAGGAGCACGCATGTCATCGCAGGGCTGAGCTTATGCAGAGGGCGGTGTTAAGTGATTGCATGTACATACTTACAGCACTTCAATCTTCCAACCGTTTCAAATCATCTGTGCTGTCATGCTTTCAAAATCGTACTTGTTTCCCGCTCGTTGCTGCGCCGCTTCCCACAGTCTCTGCTTCTCTGGCTGCCACCCTGCTCTCATTGAAACATCCTTCAAATCTGCTCTGGGTATTCAGCGGACGTCAATGACGAATCAAACTTGGAGCTTACTGCGAGAACTTCATGCAGCACCTTGCTGCTCCTGCTCCTCACATGCGGTACTTACTGGCTTCCCTTCTCATCAGACTTCTTTCTTCGCCAAATGTCCACCTTACACTTCTCTCGTTCGCACTCCGCGCCACGATTCTCGACTCGAGTTCGTCGTCCAAGACTGCATCAACGCTTCTTCTTCATCGCCAGGCCAGAATAACCCGCATCCGGTCAACCGAAGACTTAGATCAGAGGAAGAGGAGCAAGGATTGGGAGCGGCGAACGGACGCGACGGTGGCGGTGAGCACGAGGGCAACGCGACGGCCCGGATACCGCGCGGAGTGATGGGGTTGGAAAGTCGCAGACCCGCTGAGCAAAAGTTGGAGGATACAGTTCGAGGGCATTAGGTCATGTTGATTTGATTCGACGCTGGCAGCAAAGCAGATCTCCTTTTCGCGGTTTCATGTGTTCTCAAGAGCTGATCAAAGTGCTGGCCGGCTTCGCGCAATGTGATTCGAAAGGATGGTCTTAGAAGGTTCTGCTGGTCTGCAGTTCGAGGACTCCGAGCTACGCTGCTCTTCTTCGCTCATCCCACAGCATTCCGCAAGACCAGGGAGCAGCAGCTCAACCTCCGATCTGCTGGTGCACCAGCTCTTCCTCTGCTCGAGCCCTCTACAAGTAACCAATCTCCGCTTGGACAGCGCCTCATCGGATCTGGAACCGGAGCATGGTAGGACAAGCACAAGCGCGAAGGACAGCTCACATGATATTGAGACACAATGAATGGTCGGAAGCAGAGAGTAGGCCAAACGACCATGGCTGCCACTGTTGCACATTGAGCTGGGAAGGCCAGAGACTTTGTGGACATGGGGCGCGAGGCTCATACACAAGCATTGGAGGATTGATTGTCCTCTCATTCCGTGTCTCATCTTCGCTGACCGTAAAGAGGGTTCATCTCAATCATCTCGGTCCCTTTCACTACATTCCAGCCCACGGTCGAGCCTTCGTTCGTAACTCCCTACTCTGGTCCAGCAACGACATCATCCAATACATTTTTCTTGACCAGCTTGGCCATTTTGCTGTCGGGATAGCACTCATATGATGGAATCTGTTGCCACAGAAAGCATCCAGTCAGCCATGAGTTACTCGGCTGTCAAACACTGCCAACTTACGCCCTTGCATCTACAGTATGCGTATAAGTCGTTGCAGTTGCAACCGTCGCCGGAGATGCAGGCAACGACACCGAGGGCGGCGACGAAGATCCAGGTGAACCAAGACAAACGGGCCATCACGCTGCTTTCCTGGAGTCGAGCTTGGAGCGGGGTCTTGGTGGTGATTATGCAGATCTGATGTGAGTTGATGGCAGTCCCATATCCGGGCAGCGTGGGTATACTTATACTTGTCCCGACCCTTACTGCCTCCCATGAACCAGCCGGGTGGGCGACACTATGCCTGCCGCACCGCAAATGGACACCTGCACCCTTTTCATTAGCGATGATTTGTTGTCGCAGAGGTTGGTCTTGACAGTCTTCCAGCAGCATACGAGGATTCAAGGAATAGAAGCTCAAAGGCCAATCGCGGGTTTCCTACTAACATTCTGCCCTAAGTCGACTACGATAAAGGCTAAATCGCCTAGCAGACGAGATCTACCCTGCCATTCAATCGCTAGATTCAAGTGACCAATTGTAACACAGACGGAGCGATAACGATCGGACTCCCACTACTTTCACTGGTTCATTCCTTGCCGATTCCTTGCCGGAACCCTGCATCTCGTGTAGCTTATTGCAACGTAACATGAGCATACCGAGTCACTTTCGCAGCCACCAACTGTATCACATGCCTCCTACAAATCGAAGTTGGCCTCTCTTTCTGCTCGAAATGTCGCGCTTCTGGAACGAGATCAGCTTTATGCATTGCATGTCTTACTTATCACAAGGAAGGTCAAGTAAGATGTTATCCACATATTTGAGCTTACTCTGTACTGGACCTATTTCGTGATAAGTGATTCCGTTCGATGCACGGCACGCAAAGCATTTGCAAGCGCCACCAATGACCGTGCTCTGACGTGGCTCAGATGCTCGTCTCTGTGAACTGCCCTTCGACTCTCTGGACATGTGCAACCGCCTAGGAACGGATTGCAACCCCCTAAGAAATTAGAGCAGAGCTAACGGGCGTGGTACGACCACTTGTTCTCGATGAACGCAGTCACCGGACAATGGTCCGTGGCACCTCTTCCACCGCACGGCCTGGCACCAGCGAGACGGTTGCTGCATCCCTCTCGACCAGAGGCCTCATGTATCGAGCGCATACTATCATGCCCTCAGTCTTGACGTTGAGGATCATCGCCCGCTGCCAGACACCTTTCGCCGCGTTTCCATACCAACATTTCGCCAAGACTGAGGAACTTACTACGCCCAGACGTCCAACAAGCAGATACTCTTGGCCTCGAAATTAACACACAGCGCCGAGTATTGGAAGCAGACACGAAAGCGGCCGAACGTGTTTTTGGTAAAGTGTGAGCACAAGGCTCCTATCTACATGATCAAGGAGCGTGATCATATTCTGACGCACCCCAACAGCCTCCGAAAGGAGTGCTCATCCCATTTCCCTCCGCCATATCCAGATCCAAGCCAATGGCTGTCGGCCGCTTTGGTGCTCCACCGCTTCCATCACTCTTGCTTTGGACCAGCAACAATAATATCATCCATAACGTCCTTCTTGACCATTTTGGCGAACTTGAATTTTGCTGTCTGGCAATTCTCCCACTGTTGTTCGATCGCAAGAGACATCGCGTCAGCCATGCCCGCTAGACCCTCTTCAAGATTCACTGGTATTTTTCACTTACACCGATGCACGTGCAGAGGTCGAAACTGCTGGGGCAATCCGAGCAGTTGTCCTCTGGGCTGCAGGCGGAGACACCGAGAGCGGCGACGAAAAGAGTGATCAACCAGGAGAAGCGAGCCATCGTGGTTGATGGTTGAATTTCGAAGTTGAGATCGAAGATGGTTTGTAGTGATGAGCTTGGAGTCTTGTTGCGTTCTGACTTTCGTCTCAAAGTCAGGCTTTGAGGCAGTCTTTTATATCGCACGATCGAGAGTCTTCAACGCTCCGCCCCGCACTCGACAACGACAACGGAGAAGGCGTCCTCCTCACCCTGCTGAAATGGTATGCAGCTGTTTGGCCGGCAGAGACTCGTATTTCTGGGAGGTGGCTGGCTTGATACGACTCTACAATCAGCGGAACTCTTGTTGGTGGTTTTTTAAGCATGCTGACTGCCTACAAGACCAGCGAGACCTGTTCCGTGGACAGTGACAGAGTTTCGACCAAGTCGGCTTGCTGACTTGCGTAACGCATTGATGCTATACTGACGCTGCGTCAATCGGGCAGCAGCGAGCGTTTAGTGACAAGGCTCCTGGCGTTTTCGCAGCAGAACGCCATGAGCCGTATGGATATGAGAGTTCCTAGACATCGTTGAAGACTGTCTCAATGCCGCAGGCGAGTAGCAGGAACGACCTCCAGTAGTGGAGCGACAATCACGTTCCAAGCAGCAAGATATCGTGTCCACCGTACAGGATCAACGCGTAGGGGAAGAACGGAAGGACTCGCAACAATGAGAAGACCAGTACCAAGTTGCTGACCTCGTATTCAGGTGAGTTGACCCAACAACAGCCAGGCTGGCAGCCTGTTCCATGCAGACGGCGACTTTCCCACAAACATGGTGAACGGGAAAGATGCAAAAATTGGCATCTTTTTGCTGATTGACAGCCGTACACACCATGTAGGGCTTTCATCCCATTTGCTCGTATATCGCTTCACTGGTAGATGGTACTTTAGGAAGCTAGAATGCATCCCAATGAGTCGAAGAGATGGTCCGAAGGCCGATGTTTGCAACATGCTCCACCGTGGTAGTTGTTTCTCTGGGTGGACCCTTCCAGGCATTCCTTCTCAAGATGTTGGCAGCCCAGGAGAGCTTTGTCGCAGGTACGCATGCGAGGCGGTCTAAGAAAAGTGCCCAACGGATCACCAGCAAACTTACCTTGCCGCGTATTTCCGTTGTCGAGCCAAGAGCTCTGCAGCCTAAGTCTTTCTTGACTAAGCCTATGTATCGCCACCATTGTGAGCACGACGCCAAGCATTAGCTCTCGGTCAGCATCTAAGCACTGTCCGAAACGGGTAGGTCTCGCCTCGACTAACTTTGGCGGACTCTGTGAATTGGAGACGCGTGTGCTGGGATATCAGGGCTGCTGAACGTTGACAGGCCAGCCGAGCAAGCAATCGAAAGCGAACTGCTGGGTTCCTAGACGTGAAGGCCAGAAGTCAGCCTACTGACTAAACAAAATCGAAGTCAGCAGATGATTTTTCGCAGACTGCGATCGTATACGGGTCTTGCATTGACGAAGTCAATTATGAGTATATATATTCCTGACAGATTTCTGCACTGTCAGCGTGTTTCTGCAACTGGCTCTTCGGCAGTTGCATTGCATACTTGAACGCCAAAAGCATAATTCGAGCTGGCTGTGCCCGCGATACGAAGACAACCAGAATAGAAGAACATGGCACCTCACCATCACAACCACTCTGGCATCCTCTTCAAAATCCCATCCAACAAACCTCCCAGTGGTCCCAATGCCTGTTTCACATCCGGAATAGGCGGCGGCGCTTCTCCAGGCAGAGGGTTCCCATCACTCCCACTAAAAGGTCCCACCGCAGCCGGATTCATCGGATCCGTCAACGGCCCACCACAAGTAAACACACTCCCCTCCGGCAGCCCAAACAACTCCAAATCCGAAAAATAATCAATACTGTAATTAATATCCACACACTTGCCCCCACCAGTAGGTCCCACATGCGGACAGTGAATATCCGGTCTGACCTGCGTCAAAATCAAATGAATCAATCGACAAGCGACATTATCGCCCGAGACTTCATCGAAGGATCCGAAAGGTTTGAGTTCGAGTTCGAGGATGCAGGTTGTGACGTCGAGGTATTGTTGGTATTGACCTGTGCAGCGTTGTTGGATTCCGGGACAGAGGACGACGGGGACGAATTTTTGGTAGAGGAGGGCGTTGAAGTCTACGCCTGTGCCGGCTTTGATCCAGGCTTCGAGGTTGGTGATCCAGGCGTGGTAGCGTTCGACTTGGCCGTAGGCGTCGAATTGCCAGAAGGCGACCTAGGAAGCGGAGGATTAGCACATAGGACAGACGAAGCTCAATGCTGAATGTCCTTCTGCATACCTGTGCAAGCGTCGAGACTGGGCGACTTGGATCGATTTGGCGAGTGTTCTGGTCATACTTTGCTGTGCGAAGGTATCTGCGTAAGACGTCAGCATACGAATGGTAACGTTTACAGGCTCGTCTCCAGGCTGAAGAGCGATTGCAGTAGATCACACTGCAAGTACTATGGCTTGGCATCTTCTCACGGCTGCGAAGACTTACACCACACTCGCAGCAATATTTGGACAACCGGAAGTGAACTCTACAACATCGGCCTGATAAATACCGAGGCCTTGGAATTCCTGGTCCTCAGGATTTGGCGCCAAGGCGAAGAAGTACTCGCATGAGTCGTTGAAGCCACTAAAATCGCCCACTGGAGACACACGTCCGGTGGCATATGGGCTGAAGAGTCCTGGAGGAACTGCTTTGTCGCATCCTTGTTTGAGGATCGGAACATTGTTGGGATAGACTGTGAGGCCGTAGATGCTTCGGATGGTGTTCAAGTTGCGCTGTGCAAAGTCGGGGAGTTGTCGTTTCTCGAGAGAGTCAGAGATGTCAGCGCGCTGACTGGGACTAGGTTCAGAAACTGATGCTTTGGATATATGCCGATGTCCAAGGTATCGCATCGGGCTACCCAAATGCAGCAGACCATGGCCCTCAGCGCGGAGAGACGTACTGTAGCCCCTCACCATGACCATGTCTATGCTCCAAAGCAGTACATGTCTGCCCTAAAAGAGCCCCAGCCAGAGCCGCGAACACGAGAAGCCGGGATCTCATGCTGGTAGCCTCTACCCCAGATGACTAAGAACGCCAAAAGGTCGTGCTGTACCGAAGGACATAGGCAGAGTCAGCTCTCCGTTCTTCACCTTGCGAATAATACTGTGCCGCAGCATCGTCTGTGGGCAGGAGTTACCCTCGACAATGCACTGTATCTTCTGCAGGCTCAAAGAAACACACACGGAAAGGAGGACAGACCGTATGCAGCTGACGTCCAGCTTGAACAAGCTTGCCGCACTTGGCGTTTGTTTGCCTGCCCAGCCATCAGGCAGCACTGCCTCGTCAAATGGCTACTTAAACCCCCACTTCCTCCTCTCTCGACTTCTTCCTCTTCTTCACCACCACCACCAAGACAATACCTTCAGCAGTGCATCGAGAAGTGTCTGCCGCTTCCCTCCTGTGCGGGGCGCTGTGGGACCAAAGTACGCATCACATCCTCTTCCCTCACCGCTCTCACCCTCACTGACATCCCTCGACAGGCCCATGGCGCCCCTGCTTGCGAAGCGTCCGTCGATTCTATCTTCCGGCGCCGCCTCCGTCACCAGAGATGTTCGTCCGCAATATCTACAAGAAACAGGACGGAGGCGGCGGCGGCATCTACGATGCTCACCCCCCGCGCCGCCGTGGCTGACCCTTTCGCCGCGTCGGTTCGCGTTGTCTCGCCGCCCAAGACCACCAAGCGCAAGACCGCCGCAACTGAGGACACTCCGCCGGACATAGGCAAGGAGCTGAACCTCCATGACCTGCTTGCTCGCCTCGACGACGACCTCCACCTGCCAGTCAGTTCAACCACCATCAGTGGCGCCTCTGTTCTCTATGCTGACATCATTCCAGACCTCTGCCGCAGTCGTTGCCGTGCGTCTAGTAGCCTATCCGGGCCTTGCTGTCGCTGCCTTGGGTGCGCTCGTTGTCGCCTACTGCTTCACCCTGGCTTGGCTGGTCTTCCACCTCCAACTGCTGCGACTCACCATCGACACACCGCTGCCTGCGCTGCATCTCCGCCGCACCGAGGATTGGCCGTCGCACTCAGCACCAACTGGTCGTCGTCCGCCGGCTCGAAGACACATGGCCCCGGTCTGCGTGCTCTCGACAACATCAGGACTGCGGATCCCGCCTGGACGTCTCCACCTTCATGCCATTTCCCCGCACTGTGAGCATTGACTGTTCGCTGGCCGCCGCCGACGTTCGAGTATCAGAGTGAGTATCCCGTCGCCCACTGCAACATTGTTCGATCGCTGACCTGCAAATAGTCACATTGTCCCGCCACGCCGAGGGCTGCTGTATCTGTCAATGTTGTTGCGGTTGCTGATGGTACGCTCTGATGATGATGGGGCTGGGAGTTGTCTGTTCCGTTGTGTGCAAGATGTTGGCGGTCGCAGATGTCGAGACACATGCCACTGGAGGATGTTGGTGGTGCGCACTGCTCAGAGCTCAGATAGCCACTCGAAACCTGTTGCTCATGTTTGTGTTCATGTTGTTCCCACCTGTCTCATGCTCTCATTGCAAGCTGCTGCCTGTGTCGTCTTTGCACTCGCCGTCCTGCCCAAAACTGATCAGGGCTGGACCACAAGAAGGCTCGTCAGGGCTCTGCGACTATGCGCATTTCCAATGGTGGTTTCAATGCCCCCTGCTTGCAGTCTCGTCTTCGCGCAGGCCATGTTTCGTTGTGCTCGCTCGCTCTTGTTGTGTTGCGATATGCCAAGACCGTGAATGGCTTCTCGTCACCAACGCCATCCTCTTCGGCTTCCTTCCTGCTTCCCACCCAGCCTCATCAACATTGTCTTCTCCGCACGTCAACTGCACTCAATGCAGGAGCAATATTCCGTGGTAAGCAGAAGGATAGCTCGAGAGAACGTCCTCCAAGCCGCCCAGACCCCTGACAACAAAGCAGTCCTTTGTTTCGCTTCATCCTCGACCCACCTACGTCCACCTACGAACAAAGCCACGGCTTCCCACCAACCTCACTACCGCATCGAGACGATCCCGCCAATCGTCATCGCCATCCCGGAAAAGAGCTTGGAGCAGCTTCGCTGCGGCGATGATTCAAAGGCTCGCCTGGCGCAAGATGAAGAGGGGGAGTTGATCACAGCATCAAGAGGCGGTCAGAGATGGACAGTACAATGGACACCCACATCATACTCGCTCGATTGGAGGAGGTTCTCAGAGCTCAGGTTTGACGCGTGCTTCGGCCCCATCCTGCTCGCCTCGAGCAAAATTCCATCGGCGTGCACATACACACCTTTCGGGGCAAGATCTGCGTCCGCGGGTGACGACAGAGGATGGAGAGAATCGTCTTGGTCATCGCAAGAGCTTGGGAGAGAAGAGGAGGAGGAGTGCACCTGATTTCCTCGCCGTCGAAGCCGCCGCCCTCAGCCCAATTTCGATCTCGAGCCCAAACGTCCGATTCGACCGCCGCAAATCAACCGCGAATGGCTGCGCTCCTTCGTCGACGTGCATTGAAGCAGTCTTGATGCCACCATCGTTGCCCGCCGCCCCAATGGTGACCTTTACGTCAAGGCGGGAAACTTCAGGTAAGGTCACGTGGGCGTCACGGAGCTTGAGTGGTTTGGTGTTTCGTCGGCTGTTCATCCACAACACAACTTCATCCATCAGCATGAACACAACAGGCGCTTCCGTTCAGTCCTGATCCACGCTGCGTGCATTGTCAAGGTAAGCTACTCATCCTTTTGACCCTTTTGGCGACGGCGCAGGACAGCAGCACTGTTCTCCCCCTGGGCACTCCAGTCCTCTAACAGCACTGCGAAGGCAGACACGCCAGACTTCTTTAATGATGGACCGAACAGCCTCCTCAGTCGCTGAGTTCGAGGAACAAGATGCAGGATCCGCTGCCGCTCGCTGATAAAGCGACCAGTGCTTGATGCCTCAAACAGGAACTCAGCCAGTGGACGCCGCCAACGAGGTCCAATCCGTCGCCATCAAAGGCGACCATTATACATGGTATGTTCACCTCTCACACATCCTGCACTTCCTGATGATGATTCTCCCCCGAACACGAGATGCGACTCATGGCATGCCCGTTGCGCAGTCCCGCAAAGGCAGAGGGAACTGGTCAAGATGCAGAAAGCGATTCTCGAACGAGACGACCTGACCATGCAAACGTGAGCGGGCATCGGTAAAGCGAGGGTTGCGAAGGGCTGTTCGCACGAGATCTCCGTTCGGCGTCCATCATCCAATGAGTACCGACGGCGACAATGATCTGATTGCACATCGAATTATCAATGGTCTTGGAAACCAGTGTTCGCGCAATCAAAAGCTGACGAGTAATGAGCGCAGGACCCCACCAGCCCTGAGCATCCCTCGGCGGGCTCTCCGATTCCTCTCGGCATAGAGCGTCAACGAAGCCTTCGTCCCCAAGCACGCTGCGCGCGAGCAGCTTGAACGGTAAGACGACCCGGCCCACACCACCTCAATCAGAGCATGATGAACGCAGTGAGCGGGGGATGTGGCCCATGGCGTGCCCGTCGCGGAGCATTCCCAGCTGGCGAGACGATCGCGTGTAGCGACTACCAACGACCACGATAAGAGGCTGTTCATCTGTTCGGTGGGACCCTGACCTCTCCGCCCATTGGGGAGAGGCAGTAAAGGAGTGCTTCGAAGGGCTGTCCACGTATGATCCACGCTCAGCTCTGCGCCATAGGAAACGGTGGCTGTGGAGACTTCTGACCAGGACCTTTGCCAATGATCTACCCGATGTCGATCAAGGCCGAAAAGATGCTGACCATCTCTTACACAGCAGAACTCAAAAGGCTAGAGCACCGGCCAGGCGCGAAACGAAGAACTGCCGACAGTCACGATCTCCCTTCAGACGTAGGGGTCTTTGCGTTGTTCAGCGCCTTGACAGCTCATATCTTTTCCGACCGACTTCGAAGGCGATATGAAGGTAGGCGTTACTCTTCACTCCCTACCCGCGCACAATGATGATCCGAACCTGCCACGCCCACCTTGCAAGCATATTGCCCGCCGCGGATCAGGAGTCGGCAAGTATAGCGGAGACCTGAAGGATGAGAGGCACAACAACAGCACAGAACATGGACTCGAGGTCCGAAGGGCTGTGCTTGCACTGCTGAGGACGGGTGATGGTCTCCATGGCAGCGGTGTGGCATTCGGACTCCACGAAGAGCCACCGACTGAAATGTCTTTCCACACGAACACTCCTCGATCAGCTTTTTCGTTACCATGCGCTGACTTTTTGTTGCACAGTAACTCGTTGCCGCTGGAGTAAAGCATCTGTGGCAGCCATGGATCCCCAGGGCAACGGCCAGCGCAACGGGTGCTTGATCTGCACTGAGCCAGCAGAGGTAAGCCACACCTTCCTTGCACTGCACATGTGGGATTCCATTTTGAGATCCATTCGAGCCGCAGAAACAACCCTGGATACTGGAGATCGAGACCTTTGCTGACATCCCAACTCCAGAACGTCTACTTGGAATCCGCAGATGAGGCTCTGAAGCCCAGTATCTCAGGTAAGACCACGCCCTACCCGTGGTCTTACAACCTTATGATTATACCCCACCCTCCGTACCTACCTCGTCCGCACACACATGCCGTAGCAGAGCAGCAGCCATGAGTCCATCATCTTCATCAGAGGGTGGGCAGTGGGCAGCGACGATCCGAAGGGCGATGGGAAACACGTTGGCAAGGGGAGATGCCTTCGGATCGGTTGCGGGCTCTGCAGGTTGTGTGGGCATCTATGGGAGTGGAGTCGACATTCGTCAAAAGGAGGAGGCTAGCCGGTGTGCAGCTATGAGCGTTCAAACTTCTCATCAGCTTCGACGGAGTTGTGTCCGAGCAGCTGCTGACTTGTGCGAGATACAGATCATGGAGCCATATCGAGGATTGACACCAATCCAAATGGTAAGCTTTTCTTGATTTCTCAGGTGCAGCATCTTACAGCCTACCACGACTGGAAGCGCGCACTGTGACCCACGCTGCGATGCAGAGGAAGATGGAGAGATGCAGCAAGCTTACCGTGAGCAGATGCTGACTTCCTGCACACAGGTTCACTGCCAGAATCTGCGACTTCTTGGCCACAGCCGGCAAGCCGCCTTCTTCCAACTCTTGACGCCCAGGTGTGGTTCGGTGAGCCGAGGACGACACTCTCGCAATCTCCCATACCGCATCTCTCTTGGGTAAGTGTTTTGCAGACCTCCTCTCCCCATCCCCGCAGATGATGAGAAGGCACCCGCCATCACCACTCGAAGCACGAACAATGTCCGCCGCGGCTGTGGCAGAAGACCAGGTCTCGAAAACGAATCAACTGTAAAAGACCTGGTCGCAAGGACAACATGGCATGGGGACGCCGGATCGCTTGCAGGCGCCGAAGGACTTTCCGTGCGATCCTGAGAGTTTGGCGGGCATCCAACCGAGAGTGGAATGTCAGCGGGCCGATTCTGAAGCTCACAATCTACAATGCCTTGACCCACAAAGTATGCCTGAACACAGCAGCTGACTCTTCGAGACCAGATCTTGCACCACGAGACCTGAAAGACGCACCTTCCACCTCCCAGCATGTAAGTCGAGCCCTTTCTCCCGAGCACATTATCCAGGATTGAAGCACCAAAGAAGCTCTGCTGTACACAGCAACTGTACATCCGACTGCTAGATGGCACGACTTGCGGGCGTTGAAGGGCTGGTGGTAGAAGGATGACTCTCTTTCGATCTGACGACTAATTCTCACCACAACGATGCTATTGAGGCGGTGTTTGAGAGGACGCTGACGATGTTTTTAGACAGTTCAGCGAGCTCGCAGCTTCCTCCAGGATGAAGACATCGGTAAGTGGAATGCTTTCTGTTCCTTCTCAGCACCCGTGATGAATCCCCAAACAAGAGTTCGCTTTACTCCGGCGAAAGGATTCTTGATCGGCTTGATGCGATCCAAGCCATCGCCCGTTGCGCAGTCTGCCATATCGAGGGATTTTCGGGTCGAGGGAAGGAGTCGAGGAGAGGAATGCCTAGTCGGCTGCGGCATGGGAGAGTGCTTAATTTTTGAGCGTGCACCCAAAACTGCAGGCTTCGAAGGGCTGGCCGCAAGAGTAGGAGCGAGTATTGGTGGCCAACGAGTCGTACTCGCTGCAACTGTCCGGACTGAAGATGGTGCTTCACAACACTGGCGTTCTCACAATACTTGGTTTCCAGTGCCGGTGCTGACGTTGAGTGACAGGTCTTCCAAGCCAAAGCGTGGCTTCTCTCGACCCGGATGTCCTATGCTTCGACAGAGTCCTCAAGTAGACTCCAAACGCGGATCTCGGCTGCAGAGCGAGCTTCGATTCCTGCTCATAGTTGGCTCGTCGCGAGCCTTGTCACAGATCGGGCTTGCTTGGATCTGAATCAAAGAAACGACATAGAGCAGGAACTGACAATCATGCAGGAAAGATACCCAGTTCTCCGGTTGAGCAGCTGATCGACAGGGAGGATATCAGCCTTCAGCACTCCAGAAATATCTCGGCCGAGCCAGCACA